GGAACACAAAGAAACAGTCAACAGTAATATATTCTAATATGAGTTTTCTGTGTATTGTGTTACTTTAGCCATTATGTATTATCCATCTCCGGTTTGTGATCTATTACTTTCGATTTCTTGCCAAGCTGCTCGATCGAATATGAACGTTTTTTATTTCGCATAGTAATACATTATTACGCAAACATGAGTTCAAATCACAGTGGAAAACACTGTCTCTTCACCAGTGGACACTGAAGGTACATCCAGCTAACACACCCAAAAAAGGATGAACTGGGTAAAATTTATTTTGGCAGTCTCACAGTGGTGCTAAACAGTAATACTTACTGATGACCACGTTCCGAGCACAATTTATTACTGCTCACAATCATATCAAGGAACTCACACAACTTTCTAACTTCGTTTATGTAATTCCATTATTTTTCATTGCCTGACTTGAATGATAGTAGTATTCTCCATGTTTCCGGTACGAGTGACTAGTCAAAGTCAGTGTCGAAATCTTAGACAGAGGAAACACCAGAAGTGCCAGGGAATTCCTGGAAGCCTGGTAATCGAACGAAAATACAATTAACAAACACCTTAATATAGACGAAATATATCAACTAATAAAAAGTAAATCAGGTGACCAGAAAGTTTAAAATCCAAGTCAAGTTCGTCTTCTACAGACAGCTGAAGCAGTCGGAATCCACCAGAAGAAACGAAGCCTTTGTGTACAGAAGAAATTTGTACAGCCACTTTCCTTACCGTGGCCATCGTTACAAGACAGGACTACGTCGCCCTTCTCCCCCTTTTAAATTACAATTGTCCAAATTATTTTATTTTCATTTTGACCACTTCATCTTTAATTACATGTTATCCTTGTAAAATTAATTTATTCTAACCATTTCCACCTTTTAAATGTGTATTGATTTTCTTCGTTAATTATCAACCCATTGACCTTTTGACACTTTAGTTATTGTTAACAAACATATCACCACTTGTTTGGTAAACTGTTGTGTATTGTAATAAAAATGCTATATATATTAGAGTAGAGCCAGAGATGAGGATCTAATTGAAAAGTAAATATTTCTTCGCTCAATCTTTATGTTTTATAAGTGAGACATGGATGAAGACTTTTACTTTAATATCCGCTGATGTATCCACTTAGCCCTGTTTTAGCAAATATCTTCATATCCAACCTTGAAAGAACAAAGTTTAAGCATGTAATTGACGAAATAACTTCTTATTGTCGATATGTCGATGACAATGAAAGTCATGTTTCCTCCTACTCAGATTGCTCAACGACTTATATACCAATAGTGAGTTTACTATGGGACATGAAAAAATTTGATCGACATTGCTATGCAACGCCTAGAAGGTGGTAGTCTCTAGAGGTCAATTTACTGAAAGCAGACATGAGAATGGACAAAACCTACATTTTAATAGATTTTCTCTAAATAGCTTTTAACGTGGACTAGTCAAGACTCTATACTGAAGAGCTAGGAGAATATGCTCTACATGGAAATTAGAAGAAGAATTTATGTTTCTCGAAAAGATGTTGAAAGACAACGGTTACTCTCAAAGGTTCATCAGCAAATATGGAAGATGTGAAGCCACAAACGTCAAACGAATCACACTGGGAAAAACGCCTGTCTTCATCTAGATCGATTTTAAAGGTGAAAACATTGTAGCGATCGTCAACAGAAGATTAAGGACGTCACTAGTCACAGCCTTTCTTGCAGATAAGTTGGTTCCCGTTTATCAGTCAACATGAGCTTTGTTGCAATCAAAATTCGACAGATGTCCTTCTCATGTTAACTCCAACTGTGTTTACAAATTTACATATATCTGCGTGAGCATTTACTTTGGAAGAACAGGAAGAAGGGTACATCTCCGATTTTATGAACATGTACCAAAAAGCTTATGTCCAAAGGGAATAAATACTTTAAACAGTGCCATTAGTAGGCCTCTTCTTGACACGGATCATGAGGTAGACATCGCAAGATCGTTCAAAATCATCAAGAGGCAAAAGAGTTCAGTTCTCCTTACGTTTACCAAGGCAACCTCCATCAAGCGCCTGAAACGCGATTTATGCGTTCAGGAAGAAGCGGTTATCAATCTTTCCTTGCCCTGATTACATAACACCGAAAGTCTCCATTGTGTATGATTATTATTGTTTAGGATAAAGTGATCATTACTATTATTATTAGCATTGTATGGATATATTGATTGATTTTCGTTGAAAAATAAGCTCTTCGTGCAAGCATGTTGAAATCGTTTCTGTAGACATACTTAATAATGTCTTTGGGCTGTGAGCAGCTGTTAAGAAGGCAACGAAGTAAATGATGGTACCATTGGTTGGCATCAAATGTTGGGTTATGGCTGAAGTGAAACATGGGTGGAAAACTATGAGATAGACGCGGGTTCGGGGGTGACATGAAGGAGGTAGCAAGTGGAGGAGATCATAGCCCAATGGTCAATCATGCGATTAACTAAAGAGGACTGCACAGAGTACGATATAGTAGAGGTGTGCTGTTGAAGCGTATGTTAAACACTAGGAACACAAAGAAACAGTCAACAGTAATATATTCTAATATGAGTTTTCTGTGTATTGTGTTACTTTAGCCATTATATATTATCCATCTCCGGTTTGTGATCTGTTACCTTTGATTTCTTGCCAAGCTACCCTATCGAATATTAACTTTTTTATTTAGCATAAATATACATTGCTGTGCAAAAGCAATAACGTGTAGATCATTGGAGTCGGACTGATTAGTCATTAAATGAGAATTTATGCAAGTCTGTTTTGTGATGATGCTAGTGGCCTAAGTAGCCTAGGGGATAACACTTCGGTTTCTGAAAAGATGCGTCGGTAGCATAGCGGTTAGGACGCTCGCCGACCATGCACATGGTCCGGGGTTCGATCCCCGTCCGACGCACTCCTTTACCTCGCTAAGCCATAAATAATGCTAGTGAAGAGGAGATGTTGGGCATGAGGCTAGCAACCCCATCCTGTAAAATAAACACCGCTACAGGAACTCCATGCCATAAGCTTGAAGCCTTATGTTTCACTTGGGAATGTGAAGGAAAAAAAATCTGAAAAGATGGGCACTGAGTTTAAGTCACACTAGAAACACCGTCTCTCCATCAGTGGACGCTGAAGGTACATCCAGCTGATACGCCCAAAATAGGATGAACTGGGTGAAATTTATTTTGACAAAGTCTTAGAGTGGTGTTATATAGTAATATTTACTGATGACCATGTTCCGAGCACAATTTATTACTACTCGTAATCCCATCAAGTTACTACTCACACAACTTTCTAACTTCGTTTATATAATTCCATTATTTTTCATCGCTTGACTTGATTGGTAGTAGTATTTTCCATATTTCCGGTATGAGTCATGACCCATTCCTGTTGCACGTGTTGGGTGTAGACTCCATGAATTCCTATTTGCCGGGTCTACATGATTCATGACTCATACCGGAAATATGGAAAATACTACTACCAATCAAGTCAAGCGATGAAAAATAATGGAATTATATAAACAAAGTTAGAAAGTTGTGTTAATTACTTGATATGATTATGAGTGGCAATAAATCGTGCTCGGAACGTGATCATCAGTAAATATTACTGTATAACACTGTGAGACTTTATCAAAATAAATCTTACCCACAATGGAATTATACTCTATATCACAGTGCACTAGTTCTATTATTCTATCCAGGATGAACTGGGCATTGTCGATCCCAATGCTATACCCTATACACCAAACAACTTGAAAGTAGAATGTGACTGCCTCTGTAAACAGAGTTACTTATAATTCTAGTCAGAAGTCGTAGCCATGGCGATAAGAGAACAGTTACTGGCTGACGGATTGGAAGAAGAACTTGGAATTCACAGGCCATCAAATCATTTCGCAATGGCTGAGTGATCCACCAGCTCGTCATATAAGCCGGAGGTTGTAGGGTTCGAACGCCGGTCGTCGGTGAGCACTGCTGAAGGCGAAGTAGACCTTCGGTATTCTCTGTTGGTTTTCAATGGTTCTCTAACCCATTTCACCTTGTGGCCGAACGCATAATCAATCGAATCGCCGCAAACCAACCTTTGGAAGGATAACATTTATTTCTCTCACACAATTTATATATATATATATATATAAAAGGAACATTAACAGTAATCATGATAAAAATGAAATAATTGGAAAAAAAGAAAAAAAATACTAAATGAAAGAATCAGAAGAATACGAAGAAGAAGGAACAAGAAGGACAACTAAACAGACTTCTACACATTGAGATGATTACACATGATTTCTCAATTATGCATGTATACGGAGCTATATATAGCGTGTATGCATGTGTGACAGTGTGGATGTGATATACATTTGACTGAAGAATATACCGCAATCCATATATTTCCGGCATTTTTTATACATTATGAAATAGGGTTGGGTTCAATCTTTCTTCTTGTGTCTCTTGATTTGCTTTCTTTCGATTTGATATTCGGTATTTGAGAGTTCATAAAAAGATCAGTAATAATAGTAATAATAATAATAATAAAGATTAAATAATCATCACATAACTGCCTAGGAAGAAAGGGAAGTGGGTTAGTTAGTTAGTTATATATGCATGTATATGTGTGTATCACGGCAAGCTAACTTTGTTTAATATCTACACACTTGATCCGATTTGATCTGATCTGAATTCGAATTAATGTCTCCCACTAACCATTCAGACAAGTCAGACACCATGACCATTATCATTTTATAAACTAAGATTGAATAATAATAATAACAATAATAATAAGTGTTTATACAAACAAATAGACGGATAGAGTGGGTTTTTTGTGTGATTTTAAAACACCAGGAAAAAAAATAGAAGAAATTGTGAATGTAAAAAATAAGATTAAGTTTTAACATCTTTTAAAAGTTGACAAGTTTCTGCTTGTATGGATGTGTGGGTCGGACGCTGGACGCTTCCTCTATGCTATCTCTCTGTCTGTCTCCAGATACTCTTATCCTCATTTACAGATCATCTTTAACTGATAAATCTAATGAATATTTCACTGAGGTTTTATTGAAACAGTCGAGTAGAAATATTGTCATTTTACGATAGAGATGTTCAAGATTTCTTCCTTTCGACAGGAAATGATTGTCATCCGGATAAATCTGTTGATAAGAGGAAGAAAACACAATAAAGAAATTAGACAAAGCAATAAGAAGACGTGATTTGTGCAGTGTATTTGTGCAACATATTTCGAACAATCTGATCACACAGGGACTTGTCATAGGCATGTGTATATATGAAATTAATAAAGAGTTAAGAGGTGAGAAAATAGACTACTTAGGTCAACTTAAAAGGACATATTGAAGGCGAAAATAACAGTGAAGATCGCTGAACCAAATAACAGAGGTTATATTACATCTACCCTGGATGGTATCAAAACAAACTTTACCAAGGAAGGTAAGTTTAGTGCGCTGACGAATTGTTTTTGATGAACGCATACAGGTGATTATAACTTCCTAATTGCTAGCTAGGTCTTACACAAACTTTAGGATACGCCCCAAACACGTTTTATAGATAGGTTTAAAAGATGTGTTAACGTCAATTTTATGTCCTGTCTCTATAATACATTACTCAAAAGAGGAGCTAGGTCTCTTGTTCCACCATTCAAGGGTTCTAGGGATTGTATTTGCTTCTGGATCCATTAAGGAATATGCTCTGAAGCCAGCCCTTACTTGCAGAGATCGATGAGTCCTCCCTATGTATGTGTGTCTACATGTACATTGAAATTGGTAGATACAGTGGGATGTGATATCATTTTTTGAATGTTCTAAGGGCTTAGATGGATGTATCGGCTTCACATTCTCAATTTTTATGACATTAGCTGCATAAAAAGTCTTTTAATCGCAAAGTTCAATATTTTCCGAATTACCAAGCTGCTAAGATCACCTGTATATGGAAGCTGGGTGTACACGTTTTTCTTAGTGGCGAGTTGGTGAGTGAGTTTTGGTGTTCTGTCCTTCTTGTGTCTCCTGATGAACTTGTCTGGATAATTTTTATCAACCAGAATTTATATCGACTTTCTTTCTTCCTCATCAAGTGCATCTACGGTGTATATTAGTTGGATTCTACTAAAAAGGCACCTTACTTAGGATGTTTTGTACCGAACAGAGTAGAAGCTGTGGTAATTAAAATACTCTCCTGTCTAATAAAGAATAGAAGAAAATGATAAACAGAACAATCATCATTGGTTGTTTAAGTTGAAAGGATCCCAAATGCTGACATTTCTGCTCCTAGTATTGCCATTTTTTCAACGTCTGAAAATTAACATAATTATGTTTGGTGAATGGTGACTAGCAGTGGAGTCCACAAGGCGCATTTCATTCTTTTTCGAACTTTTAGGTGACGGCGTTCCTAGGAAAACTCGAACCCTGCACTCATCGTTGCCCTTATAGCCAAGTGAATAATATTTTGGCATTTAAACGATGGATGCTTAGTTTGAGTCTCTGTAGGTACATCATCACTCACTGGGGAACGCAGGTACATCCAGATGACGAGTCCGAAGTAAGACGAAGTCAGCATACTGGATTCCACTGTCAACCAAACAGTACCATCGAAATCACTGTCATCATCATAGAAACCATGACGTTATTTTAGTTTATTGGACAGCCAGCGTTGGAAGTCGGGATACGTATTTCATCCTGTTTGAGATCCGTCCCCATTGATAGCAAAATATAGCACTCATCGCTATTATAACGCCAAAATATATTATCCACTGGGTGACTAAATCAATTCTAAACGTCAGCCAGACTTTGAGGAAATGTGTCAGTCAACACGCTTTCCGTCTTCCAGTTTACCATTAATTATAGTCGAGAAGTACTCGAAATGAACGATCGCTGAACAGTTAAAAAGTGTATTTTTTGAACAATTTTGACTCGAACAGAAATTAGCCAATTGTGAGGCAATCACTACATATATCAGTTCACCTACTCCCTCGGAGCAAAGTACATAGGACGTAACGACGCAGTGCTTTCTGCATAGGTACCAGGACACGTTACAGCACAGTTTTACAAGGGAGAGAAAAGAAGGGTGGGCGAAGCCGTATTCTAGTATACTCGACTGATTCCTATCACCCAGCCAACCTTAACTACAATTTTGAGACCATGTTTCGAGTTCATGCTAACTTACCGTATTGTCTTCGTTCTAAACCTCTAAAGACGGTGGAAACCTTAGCCATTCATGGATTCAAACCAGACCTCTGTGTGGCAGATAAGTATGCCAAGTACCTATTTCTACGTTAGCCGAAGCGGGATAAAAATTTATTTCTTACTGTTACAACTGTTATTACTAATCTCACTTTGAAAAGTTCCCAATTTTGTTTCACCTTTCTCACTAATTGTTTTGATTGAATAAATGACTGAAATGTTGAACTCTTCCTTGTCAAACTTCTTATCATATGGCTTAATGTTTTATTCATCTAATAATCCTATTAATTTTACTTCTCTTTCCAATAATCTAGGTTTTTCATAAACTATTTTATACATGACATTATTTGTCTTATCGTGCGTCGGTGGCAAAGTGGAAAGATGCTTGCCAACCACTCAGGTGGTCCAGGTTTCGATCCGTTGCTGACGCATTCGTTTACCTTGCTAAGTTGGTAATAAGACTGGTAAAGAGGAAAGGTTGGGCATGGGGCTAGCAACCCCATCTCGTAAAAATAAACATCACTGCTACTGAAACTTCAAGCTTCTAGCTTGAAGCTGTATGTTCCAATGGTAAAGTAAGGAAATTAAAAATTTGTTTGTTTTATCACTTGATAAGATTATAATCACAAAGTTTTCACATTTCCCTGAAAACGTTGTCTAGAGGGACAAACAGTGGTTCGTAATTCAACCATCGAGCTCAAGGAACAGAAAACAACAAGTTTAAATACCTGTCCAGCCTCTAGAATACCCACTTCATCGGTTCACAGTCACTTAGGCTATAGAATCGAACCCAAGCCATCTCCGCCTGTCACTTGGAAGGCCGGAATTCCAATCTCGGTCAAAGAGGCTGACTTTATGCGTCGGTGGTTCAGCATTAGAACGCTCGCTAACCATGTACATGGTCCAGGGTTCGATCCTCGGCCAATGAACTCCTAAAAAATCGCTCAATCGTTAGTAATGTCTATAAAGAGGAAAGGTTGAGCGTTACGCTAGCAATCCCACCCCATAAAAATAAAAACCACTACTGCCTGAAGCCCTATGTTCCGCGGCGAACGTAAAGGAATAAAAAATATAAAAGGCTATAGAAGATTTCGATAACGAGTAAAATCAGATTTCGTGGGTTGTTCCATTGGTGTACATGCGCACATGAACCGACGATCATCATTACATGGTATAAAATGTCAGCAGCTAAACAATTTCAGCATGATTGGAATTAATTTGTTTATACCCCTTTGTTCACTGAGTAGAATTTAGGCTTTGGGATTCTCGGCAACGTCGAAGCTGCTTCTTATGGGGCCGAGTTGTTAGTTTCACGTCCTACCTTCCATTCATTCCTGGCTCACTATCGGCGAGCTTACTGGACAACGTTTAGGAGTGCATCGGCTTGGAATCGAACTCCAAACCTTTCAGTGTGGTTTGCGACAATTCTACCGTTGAAGAACCGATGCATTTAACATTACGCAGAAAGAAAATGAGAAAGATAGAGAGAATAAAGCAACTCCAGCTGTAACTTACCATGACATCGACATCAACACTTGCAGCAATCAGATCTTTTATCAGTCTAGCTGTGTTAACCAAGTGAACATTATCTATGCAGGAAAAAGGAGAAAATGATGAAATTGTATTGATTATGTGATGTTAAATGTCTGGCTGAAATTCGTAGGGACTGATGAATAATCAACTAACTGAACATAAATGTTCCTAGTCTAAAAACCGGGTACTACTGAAAGTTGAAAAGCATCTATTTCTGGGATAACTAAAATGACTTTCAACTAATTTGAAGTTCTGATCATTCAGTTGATTTCAAGATTTGTTGAGAATCAAATGATTTTCGTATGCGCTCATATGTGGAATATTTACACTCTAAATTCAACTATAAGGAGATGTTTTAACCGCTACGAAGTATTGCTTCAGTCATCGAGTCAATGATTTTTTGTGCATTTATTCGTTAAGTTATTGTAATAATCCATTCCATGATTTTTAAGTCGCGAGGACTAATCTTTAATTGAGCTTTAGATTTTCCCATCGATTGATTGGACCGAAGTGCTTGGTCTCAGGTTGACATGTCAGTTTCTTGTGGAAATGCACTTCGCTCTATTCAATCGACGGGAAAATCTAAAATTCAGTTAAATAATTAATATGAGCCGTTACACATGAGGTGGCCAGCTCTCGTGGCCCAAGTGGACTAGTGGATAATGCTTTGGCGTTTGAAACTATGGAAACTGGGTTGGAGCATCGGTGGGAACATCATCACTTACTGACTGGAGAATGCAGGTACATCCAGCTAGCTGACGAGTCCCAAATAGGACAGTTGAAATGAGCATCTTTGATTCCACTGCTAGTCACCATCCACCAATAAAAAGTGAGGAATAATCGTCTTAAGAGCTCCTATTTTGATATTAGATAGTTGGAGGTAATCCCTTCTGAGATTCGAACCCGCTCAGCTGTAACGTCTCTGACTGCAGCACTGGGTGACGCGGGTTCGAACCTCAGAAGGGACATGAGTTCCTTCAAGGTTGCAGATACGCCTTACTGACTAGTGTCAACTAGCACGAAACCTAGGTCCAAGGCTTCCTGCCGATTGCCTCTGACCATCTAATATCATCACAAACAATGTTTACGGTGATGGCGAGCTACCTAGAATGGTGGCCACATTACAAATACCTGACTGATAGAATTTAGTCTGCATCAAAGAAGGACTAGACATGTCACACTAGTTATTAGTGTCCAATCAAAAGCTCCTATTTAATCATGTAATTGGTGCTAAAAATGTCGCATGATTAGTAGGGCGTTTGTATAATGGAAACATTCTTGAACTTATCATATACATGTCAAGCTTAAACACAGAACAAGTTCATCTTTGTGGTCTTAATCAGTTAATAGTGAATTATAACAATCACAAAAGAGGTAACTTTAATTATAGTTTCAGGAAAATGAGAACAATACGACATCTGACCCTAATTATCGTGTCAGAATTCACGAAATTAATTCTGTACTATCTTGAGGTGAAATTTGATGAATGAGAAAAGATCAGGCATTGTGTATGGAGATAAACCACAAGAATGATGGTCTCAGATCATTTTCTATATAAGTTGATTTTCAAGGATTCTGGAAGTTATCTATCTTCAGTTTAACTTAGGCATTCAAATGAAAAACCAGTGACTCTAAGCTGTAGTAGCCTCAAAAGAAACTACCTAATAAATGGATTAATGACTTTGAGCAACCAATCAGACGAGTCCGGAGTGTATGGGCTCAATTATGGTTGCTGCACACTAGTTACGCGGCAAATTTCATCCCAGTCTGGTATTTAAGTACTGCTTAGACGACAGGCTCATTAGAGGAGAGAACACATGTCACCAACTGTCATCCCTGAGCTATAATCACAATGTGGTCACTCATACGGATGATTTCGTTAATCTTTCCAATAAGACTCATAAAGATTCCATCGAAAGTTTCTGTAGTCACCTAAAAAAGAGGATCGGAGTGGTGAGTGGGTCAAGAAACACCACGATTTACAGTAATTTTGACGAATTTTTCTACAGAAAATGGTGTTACCTGACATATACAAGAACGTTATCCTACTTAACTGTTTTTTTGACACTACATTACTTTCACATAAACTTTTTTTAAAATTGCGCGCTTTTACTTCGGATGCGACTGATTGGTTAGTAGAGATCTGTCAAGGCCTTTATTAGGTAGTTTCGTTTTGGGCTGCTATAGTTTAGAGTGACCCCCAAAACCCAGTTTATGATGCCTTGCTTATAATTACCGCTGTTATTTCTGAAGAGGCTTTCATGCTGTTTCTGAAATGTAACTTCATGTAAGCTGAAACCTTGGCTAGCGAAACAGAATAGCCAATGGAGCATCCAGTGTCTGAGTGAACCCACAAAAAGAGGAGAACGCAAACTAAAGCTCCAGCTGCAGTTATCTCATTTAGTAGCGTTAGGTTAGCGGTAAGAAGTTAATGTAAGGTACTATTCCATGTATATCGAAGGGATGTATTGATATTATTCGGACTAATTACTAGTGAAGAATTTCTACAACTCTCTTCTGATATAAAGTTCCGTATTATTACGTGTTGGTAACATGTAATCAGTCTCTCGGAAACATACTACGCTCAATCCGAATGTAATAGTAGGCGATAGATACCATTTACTGTTAGACATGACTTTCAATATACATAAAATAACCTGTATAATTACGAAGAGGATATTTTGACCATAGCGACTGTCAAATAGGCATGCCATGATACTTACCGTCAGCAGTTCCATGAACCAGTAAATATCCTTTGTTAGCTAAATTCTTAACATTTCTAATAGCTGTTCGCTGAAATGAGAAATAAAAGTAAAACTCACAACTTTATAAGAAAGCAAAAAAACATTGAAAAATGGGGTGAAAATTCTCATCAAACGCTAACTTTGCTACAAATATTCTGAATTTTATTGTTTATGGTGTGCGCCAAAGATTTCCAGACTGATTTCAGAGTGATGAAGACTTTCGTTGCCTTTCTGATTCTGTCTATGACATCCTCATCCATTCCACTTGTAGTTAAAACAATGGCACAGAAATAAGTGATGGAAGTAACCTTTTTCCAAGTTTATGCCATTGATAGGGGTCAGGGCTAGTTGCTTTTTTTGTTGCGTGGGTATCTTCATCACCTTTGTCTTCTCTACATCCACTGGAAGTCATGTGCTTGCTGCTTCTTCCACCAGTTTGTTGATTTTGGCCTGAGAGTCTTCGAGTTTGTGTGGCACTAAACATAAATCATCCTTGAAATCCAGGTCTCATAGACTCGTCTCATCAGTGGAACGTCTCCCTGTCTTCTTGCTCTCAATTATAGTCTGATGCAGAGTCCATCCCAAAATATCTAGGAATATCATCAGAGAGTGTACACGGGCAGCCTTGTCTGTATTCGCGTCAAACTCCCTGCTGCGTTTTCTGTTGTGGGGCACCTGACACGTGCCATTGTTATACAGTTATGTGAACATATATATAACAGCAGAAGACAAAAGACCTGCAATGGAACGTTTATCTGAAATTTGATATTTCTATATAGAGAAATTATGTCCAGTTTATTTGAAAATCGTCACTTGCACAGATCTCCCGTGTTATGCAACTTCATTTTCATCTTTTCGTGTCTCTTATGTTTTGTCACTGCTATAGTGGTTCATTTCCTCTCTCTGATGTTAAATCTGTCTCTCCACTATTTGATGCATTTGTACCCATGAAAGTCCCTTTTTATACTACTGATACATCTTGTCAGTAGCACACGCCATATTAGTATAATATGATTATTATGAATTAACAGTCATAGTTTCAATAAATCACTTACTGCATACGCATCTGGATCGTCAATAAATCTGCCCAGATATCTTTCAGTATATACAGTTGCTAAAGATAGAAACACGAAAAAACGTAGACAGAAAAAATTGAACAATTTGTGATCAAGGACAAACTTTGTTTATAGCTTGACTCCACGCCGTATTTTCTGTATTTCAGCATGTGATACCGGTAGTCCAAATTTTGCAGTCCAACCACTGAAATCGCGTGTGCGTCGTCAGGGAATAGAACCCGGGACCATGTGAATGGTTGACGGGAGTCCTAACCGCCGTGCTACCGACGCACTGTACAAAGAACCGTTTGACTACAAGTAATTAAAATTAATTGCATACTGAGGTGTATCCAGTATCTTGTGTCAACTCGTTTGTGACACCGATTGAATGACGAATCGGTATCAACATTACAATCCTACGTGAGGTCATTCTGAGGCAGTATGAAGTGATCAAAATTTCGAATCACTCTTCGGGACCTCCGTCCCTTCTCTCACAAGTGTCAGTAACCAGAAAACCTACGTCCAAAGCTTCCTGCCGTCTGACTTAGACTATCCAATAAGATTTATTATTCACATAAAAGTAGAGTTCATCATGCCAAATTTTTACTTTATTCGTTACTGGGACGAATAAGTTCATCTCAATATGGATGAAGTAATTTCAGTGACAGAGAGAGATATATATTGGAAACCAGAGAGTACTGGATAGCTGTTGTCAATGCTAGTGAACATTGAGTCGTTTGTTTATTCGAATCAGCCTCCATCTAGTAGGAAACAAGAAGACCATCATTGCATAATCGTATACTAGTTGACTGAAGATTCGAGAAATATAATCAGAATTATTACTGTATTTTACATTAACGCTTACTTATAAACCCTAGCAATGATTAACTATTGTAAATCCGTTTTGTTATTGTTTTAAGAATAAACAGTTGTATTTCTCAACCATTTTCTGTTGTTCTGCGTCGGTTACTGTGTACAGTATTCTGCGTACTAGGCTCAGTCTTCTGAAAACAACGGCAGGTCCAGTATCTTTGCGTTCCGGATATTTGACAGCAATTTTTCTTTGTCTGACACTTTATAGCAGTATGCATCCATGACCTAACGAGCCATTCAACCCTTGAGCTTCAGCTTTCAAGGAGAACTGATAAAGACATAATTCAGAAGTCTATCAATTCTAACTTTTGTCAACTTCCAGCCAATAGTGCGGTTGCTGGTCAGTGTCATCGATGAGAATCTGTCGTCACGCTCAACTTGGTAGACCCTTATGATCAAAACTTCCTACTATGAATTCAGGCAATTTATTCCAGTAGTTAGTTACTAGTGATGACAAGTATCCGAAGTCAGCTTATGCAACCATTCAGGTCCCTGCAAACCAACAATTTAATATTAATCTGATGCTCACTAGTGACTGGTCCTTCTCAGGTAGGTAGATATCTGGCTTCTAGTAGGAATTTGTGACTGATCGTGTACAGCAGGTAGGGTGTGAGTACAAACACTCGCCAGAGATGACACTGGCTTGTGACAGTCACGCTGTATAGTTTTTGATTTGGCAGAGGATGAAATTCACGGGCCATTGAATAGGGTCTCAGCGTCTGAATGGTCTACGACATCGCCTTGTAACCGGACTTTCCTGGATTCGAACTCTGGCGGTATAAGCATGCTGCTGAAGAGTTTAGAACAGCAAGAGCGAAACAGCTGTCCAGTACTGCCAGCTGGTCTTCTAATGGTTCTTTAACCAGTGTCAGCTCACGATGGAGTCCAGTAACCAGTCAAAACCCTGCAAACCGACACTTGAATATCATACTTTTGTATTGTTCAGGTTGTAGACAGTTTAAAAGAAGGATCTTTGTAGGCACATCAGAAGACTGAGTTATAAAGTGGACGAAATTCGCTCTTTAATGTTTCCCCCTAAGAATTACTCAAAGTGTTTCCATCTCAACAAGCGAAATTAACAGACTGTATTTAACTACGGATAAATCCCAGTTAGAGTGTCTTCCTAGTGTTCTGTGTCAGAATAAAAGGGTTACAGCAGCCTCCACTACACACCACTGTATTTCTGCTTACTGCTTGCGCCCTATTCCTGCATTTCCAGGTTCAGGTAGATTGTATACAATTTTGTCAAAATATCTGGCAATAAGTATACATTACACAATAATGCTTACAATAATATCGGAAATCTGTAACTGGAGCAACTGAAATCCCACATCGAATCCATTCATTCTCTGGTCTGGTGAGTAGATGGCCAACAGTGAATCCCCCATAAGACTAAATTAGTATTTGAAATGATGAACAAAACAAATAAAAGTTAATTTCTTTTAACAACAGAATATTCAAAATAATCCAACAAATATGTATTACGTGAATTTCGCAAATTAGAACTAATGTGACCATTAGTTTGATTGTTTACAGATGTCATCTCCCAGGAATATAAAGTGTAAAACTTGAGCACTGTGGTAGTAAGTAATTCCATATTGGTTTGTTTATTAGATGTATCACACGGTGAAACAGTATTATCGTATACTGGATGACAAGGTTTCGAACAAAATTTATTGTTCATAATCATATCATCAATTATAATCACACGACTTCAAAACTTGAGTTTTATAGTTTTCTTTGTCCTCTCCTACTTCCCGTCATAGGGGTAGTAGAATCTTCCACATATCTGGCTGGACAAGTGTTGAATCATTCCTATTACACGTATGTGCAGTTGATCCGATAAACAAAGCTTCTGTTATCCATTTCTCCCTCAACCCCGCTGTTACGTTAGATTTTAAAACTGTCATCTTATCCCATCCAGACTATTGTATGGTTGCGTGTATTTGCATGTAGTGAGTGCTACAGCTGAACTATTCTCGAGATTTTTTATCTTATTCGGGTCAACCGATCTACATTTTGCTAGGTTTTTGTCCTCCGCAAGTCTGACTGCCCCTGTTCTACTACTATGACCTATGTATTTGACCTGACAACCATTGCAGGTAGGGTATAAGATAAACTAAATTGTTTTGTTTTATAGGCTCCACAGGATCCTTTAACTGAAAAAGTTTGTTTCTAATTGAGTTTGTGGGTTTGAATGCCACTTTTATTCCTGCTTTGTTAAGACTTCTGCGTAAGGCTTCCGAGGTCCCTTCCTTGTATGGAATTACTACTGATGATTTAGATTCCTTATTGTTGGTGTTGTCATTATCTTGCGCATGTCTGACATGCATGTCATCATTAATATTATTATTATGATTATTATTATTATCACTATCACTACTATCATTATTTATTTTATTTTGACATTTCCCTAAATACGTTCTGACTAATTTATCAGGGTAATTATTCAAAGTTTCACTTATATGCTTCACTTCCTGTCTTAGATTTTCATTGGTACTACTTAGTTTTTGTGCTCTATTATTTAAACATTTCACCAATCCTATTTTCAATGGCATAGGGATGGGATGATCGGCAATCCAAAAATCTGTTTGAATGTGTGTTTTTTCTGTAAACGCTAGTGTTTAACTTCCCATCTTTTTTCCTTTATACGCTAAAATGTAACATTAGAATTTCCCCTTCTTGACTTTACAATTCATAAGTGAATTGAATTGTCTTCAAATTTGAGTTAATATGTTCGTAAAGTCTATTTAAGTCTTATGTTCTACATACCTCCACGATACTCGTGGGGTAAGGCTGAATGCGTCAACCGCTAAGATTTCTCACCTATCTATGAATATATCTGCCATAATTGGGGATATCGGTGACCCCATAGCAACTCCCTCAGTTTGTTTGTATATAAATATATATATATCTTCCAGGAACATTGGAACTTAGTTTTTCCTGGTTTTTGTGATCCCCACGAATTAGTTTGTAGGGAATTGATTTTTTTTCAAGTTTGATCAAGGATTGATATAAGTCAGAGAACCTTTGGAAACTCTAAGGGTGTAAATTGGATAGCTGTTTCACCCCCAGTTTGAGACTCTTCAGCAGTAAGCGACAGATTGGGCGTGAGAAAAAATACTCGCCAGTGATGACAATGGCTAGTGTCAGTTGCTGTAAAACCACGAATTGGTTGAATTTGGAATTCATGGCCCACTGGATCGAATCCTGGTGGCTAATCGTCTACGAGCTTCCTTTGTAACTGGAAGTTTCTGTTTTCTAGCCACGAAGTGTCCCAAGCTAGGGAGAAACAGTTTTTCAGTACTCCCTGGTTTCCAGCGGCTTTAGCAGTTGTTAATAAAGTCGGCTTGTAACCTTCAAGAAAATAATAATAGCTTTATTCCAAACAGTATTTGTGGTAAAAGGTATGGAATTTTCAGCGTGCATTACAATATTGCATCTAATTACCTCATAAATTTTTATAAGATTTTAAAAATAAAAAGCAACATCAACAAAAAGAAAAAAGAGAAATAAAAGAAATAAAAAAGAACAGCATTGTATTCACATATTTAAACAATGCACCACAGGATATGAAATATAAAATTATTGTGTAATAGAATATGTGAGCTACAATATAATAGTAACAAAGAAAGGAGAACAAAAGCTAATGGGAACTATTTGTTAGAGTGCCGCAGTAAGTTGATCGTGTCATACCTAACGGATTTCTCATCACATAACAGCTGTGCCAGATAAGGTATTGCGGAGTTTTTGTACTTGGTAGTCCTAGCAAATAGCCTTCTATAGTTGCTTGTCGTTCTATCAGGTGAAATGCAAGGAGATAGTTGCGTATGGAGAGGGTGTTCGGGGTCTGACAATATTGAATTCGCTTGTTTCTCACATGACATTATATGTCTATCCACAATGGTGTTAACCAGTTGGTTTAACGGAATCCCACTTGCCCTACTAACAGCTTTTAGTGCTTTTCTCAGCAAAGCAAAATCTTTCTTAAGTAGTCCAGGAAAGATTAATGGAGAGCAGTAAAGAGGGATGGTTAGAATACAAGAGTTGACAAACTGAGAAAGCAAAGACTGCTTTATACCAGACTGCCTAAACTTCCTTACGTAGAACGTTAAGCGAAACATCTTTCTAGTAACTAGCAAGATGTGAGAGGACCAGATAAGATCGTAGGAAATACTCAGTCCAAGGAACTTGACATTATTCATGTGCCTTTTTTGATAATCCTATCAGCGATAAATCATCACAAAGATAGCGACTTTGTCCCTCTCTGAAATTATGTGGAAGTGATTCATCTATGGAAAATTTGGTCACCGAATAGTTTCAGAAGATCGAATATGGATAGTTTCTATTGACAAATTATCATACTTTGATGCTCATCGATACAAAATTTGTGTCTTCAGGAGAAAAGACATCATCTTCTTCAAAGTTGAGCGGATAAGAACTAAGTTCACCTTTCCTGTTAAATGATGTTTAACTCCACATATCGGGTTACATTGTATTATAGTGTGCCATAGTGTTGTATCGCTTAACTCAGATGAGCTAAGTGATCTAATTTCTTTTCTGGTCGCTTAACTTTCTCATTTACAATTAGGGTTAAATCACTTTATTACAGGTAAGCTAAATTACAAAAGTCTTTCAGCAAAAAGATTACGTTTTCTTCCAGCATGTGGGCAACACTGTATCAGCCTTTGGTTAAAACTACTTTTTCTGCATGTTTTATTTATACTTCTTAGGCATAGTATAGACTTGAATTGAACTCGTTTAATCTCGTTACCTTTGTAACTCTTGCTACATATGCTGAAAGATAATGCCTCATTGACAAAGTTTTGATGTAAAAAGCATACAAGTGGAAATCAAATGTGAATGTACACCAATTAACGTGACTAAGAGTTGCATTGCTTCAGCAAAATATAACCTACATGTATATGTATGAGGAAAAGGGGATAACAGTGTGATATATTTGACTTCTGTCACTGGATAAATATTCAGGGGGAAACGGAGATGGGGTGTTCATATGCTGAAGGAACCGTCGATTGACGTAATGCGCTACTCCCTCTAGTATAACCTCAGTGGGAAACAGTGACTTGGTCGTTGGTCTTTGAGTGGCTAAGTGGTGGAGGTTGTGTAAGGAAGAAATGATAGCTTATGGACAATCAGGATGCCGGCTAAAGATGACTACATAGAGCAGAGTGAACTGGAGGTGCACTAGTGAGACCAAATGTTCCACTCAGAATCGAAGAAGACAGTAATATAGTTGAATTTACTTATGCACAAATTCAACGGAGCATATTGTCGAAGAAACCTTACCACAGAACTATTTATTTCAGATAAATTTTAACGGAATCCTTGACTGACGTAAGCTAGTGAAGTTAGACAGCAAAAATTATATCTTTCACTTATTATGATGCTGGTATGTAGTAGCTCCAGTACATAACTGCTTAAGTTAAAGTTAGTAAAGTTCTAGATCTAAATAGGAATTTCAGCGGTACATGCATTTTTCTTTTCTTCATGCTGTAATTCCCATACTGACTGATGTTTAGGGATTGTAAATGAAAGGATCGGAAGACTGACCACTGTAGATTAGTTGACTGTTTCTATCCCTTTATTTTCTCACAAATTTCTATGAGCTGAGATTATACAGCTTTCCTCCGTCATATCGCATTACTGCTATTTAATGTATGTCAGCAGGAACTAGGTGTCACTTCCAAGTTTTATGTTGATGCGGACCTAAGTGTCTCAAATAGGGAGAAACGCATATCCTGAACACCAGTTCTAGCCACCAGCAGACAATTAACTTCAGATTTACTTACTTCTCCCTTTTTTTCTGCTTTTCTGTGACAGTTAGCATTTTCTCTGATTGGACACTAACTAACCTCATGTATCTAGTTCATTGCTTGCTGCAGACTGAATCCTAAAAGTCAAGTTTTCAATGTGACCACCATCACAGTCCATTCAGATCTGTTGTTATTGGGTGGTTGGAGACAATGGACAGTCAGGCTTGAACCTAAGTTTAGTGCCTATTAGCACTCAACAGTCAGCAAGGCGTATGTGCACTCTTTAAGGAACCCATATCACTCAGTGCTGCTGCAGTCATAGAAGTCCACACTGAGCTGCCTGAGCTTGCAGTTGACCTGCTGCAGGACTGTATTAGATACTTTGATTGGATGCTAAATAGTGTCGTGCGTCTAGCCCTCCGTTAACTGCATGCTGGACAAGATTGATCGCAGATAAGCCTTGCTGACGAGTGGCAACAAGCACTAAACCTTTGAGCAAGGATTCTTGCTAACTGCTTCTAACTATCTAATGACCACAGTTTAACATTCCCATTTCATTTACTACTTTCTCGACAATGTGCAGATTTATGATGTGCAAAATGTTACCACTAATCAATGTTCACAGGTTATGTGCTCATATTAACTTCGATACTATTTCTCTGTCTATTTGACGATACTAGTAGCTATGTAAGCTTTAATGTACTCTTAATAAAAGGTTTTATAAAAATTAGCTGACTTACCCAACCGTAAGCACCGACTTGACTTTCATTTATGTAATGATAGCGTCGAATTAAGGCTCTGAAATGAAACAAAGGCCAAAGCTTACATTATGTTTGTAAACTTATATATATTTGATGCTTAGCGTTAGTGCTACAAGAAAATCTGGATGCAAAGTTCGGTTAGGGATAAGACCAGTGCACTGCACGTCAGACTCGTAGACCAAGTATCTACCCACCTATAATTTTGTTCTCTTTACCTACTTATTTTCAAATACTGTGTGTTGGTGGAACAGTGGTTAGGACTCTCGCCGACCATGTACATGGTCCGGGGCTCGATCCCCTGCCAACGCACACCTAAGGTCGGCCTGCAAAATTTGGGTTACCGATATCACATGCTGAAAATTCCATACTTGTACCGAAAAAATATGGTGTGGAATCAAACTGTAATAAAAAAAATGGGGACTGGACTTCTTAGCTTAAAGTGAATGTTTATGACTGACTGAGTGTCAACATCCCCATTTGAACAAAAGTGAAGCAGTTCAAGTTGCTGCACACTTCATGTAACACACAGGACTGGACAGAAGAGAAAAAAAAGAACACAACGAAATTATTGATGGTGTCATTTTATTCTGCGAAAACTGTTGTTCACGCTTTATTCACATTCATATGAACTAAAATGAGCCAAAATTTGTAGGAGAAAGGAAGAATGATAACGTGAGAAAACATGATGGATTAGTGTATATGGGTGATCAGAAAGGCCGAAGGCATTAGGCCATATCATCGTTAGTCTCAAGCCATTGGTTCTTAACGTACCAAAGACCCTACCGAGGTAGTCTATACTACCATATGTGGCACAAACCAACTGTTAAAGACTTGATGCATTGATGCCACGTTTTGGTTTGATCTTCTCTTACTCTTTCCGAACACTGATGTCATGTCACCTAAAATTATCCGTCGAGGAACGCTTTGGTTACATAGTCTCATGTGAACAGAATTTGTATCTAATGGATAGAGTTAAATTAAAGCTACGTAACTATTCATTTTTTTAAATCAATGTATACGAAGGAATACAAACATAAACGATGGCACAGAAATAACAGACTAAGTCAGAAGTGAATGTTTTCTAACGTTTGTAATGTTCAATATTTCTCTGAATATCTACTTCTGACCGGATGGAAATCCCCAAAACATGCAGTTTTTCTTTTCATCGGTTGAGGTACCTAAGAAAACTTTTGAAAGCTTAGCAACAGCTGGTTTGTTTGCATTCCTTAACAAGTTAAAATTTGTTATTTTTTCTCCATACATGACATCAGTTAGATTCAACTGTGATGGTTCATTGGATGCTAACTACGCATATGTTCTAATGTTGGATTCCCCGTCAAAGCACTCTGAAACGTCTCTTAACCAGTGATAAATCCAGTAAACAGGGATGGTTGGATATGAGACTAGCAACCTCATCCTTTATGAAAACAGTCACCACAAATGAAAATTCAAAAGTCAGATTTGAAGCCCGATGTCCTAATCGGAAAGCAAAGGATTGTTAACGAAAAGTTCAGACAGTAATATATCAGAGGCTTCATCAGCTTAAAATATTCACTTTCGTGGACAAACATTCGAAGTGATATTTACAGATAAGAGCGAAGGATTCAGGTGATTCGACCGGAATTATGTAATCAACTGCTCGAGAAGACGCGTTGAGTGAATAAACAATTCCTTGATACAATTTCACCACTGTTGAAGTAGTTTTGTGTTTTTGATGTAATTATTATTATTAAGTGAGTCCATATTGGTCAAACCAAGAATGACCGTCCTTTTTTCTGTCTTTGGAGCATTTTGTGATTGTGTATGTCCCAAAGATGTTTTGGACAGCTAATATTTTAGGACGCAAGTATCGCTTCCATGAGCTCAAACGATAACAAGTCAGTTTTGATCATTAAAGATGATATTTGTGCATTCGTGTCCTCTGAGTTGGATGGTTTAGTTACAAACCTTTCATCATCTTTCTGGATAACATTTTCAGTGCTAATTTCAATATACAGTGAACTACTAGGACTCTGTATGAGTTTATTAGCCCACTCTTTGGATGATCTCGAATGTGATCAGTTGTTTTCAAAGATTTTATCACCTTCTTGTGAACTTGTATTGATATTGACTGAGTATTTTCAATTAGCGCAAGATGTGAAGAGGCAGTCTATCTAAGATTTTTCAGCTAATATAATTTCTTAGATGGGTTATGTTTCAGACAGTATACAATTATAATTAATAGTATTAAACACTCACTTAACACTGTCCAACTGATCTTCAACTTCAACTAAACCAAGTTTCTTGTAAATGGAATGCTCATAAACTCTTCCACGACCTGATGTACCACGACCATCAACGACAGCAACGATAACTTTTGCAGTTGCTGATATATATGTCATCCAGTCGATTACAAATTTTGTACTGACCACCTGATTTGTTGGACCTCCATAGCTGTAATGAATTTGTTTAAAGAGGAAATGAAGAGGAACATGGTATATAAGCGGAAAATATAAGTAGCTGTCTTCTTTTTAAATAAACAAGTATGCGGATTAAATTTACTACGGGATTGACGACAGACTCGTGTCAGCCAGAGAATCATTGGAAAACATGGAGTGCCAGTTAGCTGTTTCGTTCTAGTTTTGGACTAATCCACAGTACAGGGCCATCGGTACTGAAACCCCGTGAAACAACAGAACACAAGGGCCAGGCAACAGAACGTTTATTAAGGAAATCAAGACATATCTATATATTTTTATGTACATTACTGTAAGTTATTGTTACCAGAGAAACAGCCTCATCTGATTGATTGTTTTCTGGCTGAAACCTATTTTGTCACCTCTTTGTGACCTTTTCTTTGAAGCTCAGACCATATGTCTGGGAATCATATTTGCACACGCTAAGTCTGCTGTGATTGGTTGGTGAGTTTCTCAATGTGTTAGGCTTCGTTATTGTTTTAGCTCTTGACGCAGATTTGGGACGTAAACACTGACGTAAATTGGTGTCTACAATTTTGGCTAGCAGACAGCTCTCAACACACCTGCACCTTCTATTTACAAAGCAAGTTTGTAGACCATTCAGCCACTAGGGACCCAATTGTATGGCTCATGAATTCTAACTTCTGTTAATTCGCGAGTTTCAGTACGAGCACTGATCATTGTCACCAAAGAGTATTAGTCCTAACGCCCGACACAGTGGACCTCACGGACCAATAGGACTCCAGAAAACTAAGTACTCCATCAGTCACTAGTGACCATTAGATTAAGTTTCAAGGGTTAGTTTCAAGTTAATCACAGACTACCATCAGTCAGAGAGTCATTAAAAACTCCCAGGGGTTGCTGCGTGGTTGTTTCATCCCTATTCAGCATTAAATTAATTCACAGGTTACTCGTCTGTGACACTGACTGGTAGTTGTGTCAGATATCAAACTTGAAAAATATTCGTAATTTTATAAATCCATATCCCAATTGTGCGTCGGTGGTGTAGCGGTTAGGATCCTTGCCGACCATGCACATGGTCCTGGGTTCGATCCCCGGTAGACACACTCCGTTACCTCACTGAGCCAGAAATAATGCTGGTAAAGAGGAAAGGTTGGGCATGAGGTTAGGAACCCCATCCTGTAAAATAAAACAATGCTACAGAAACTTCAAGCCACTAGCTTGAAGTCCTATGTTCTACTGGGGAACGTGAAGGAAAAAGAAATCCCAATTGTGATACAATTTCAAAAAGTTTTGGAGTAGATTTTTTGTCGGTTTCTCAAAGAGCTGAAATTATTGTTGAATAGTTAATCTGTCCCATTTACAAAACCGCCAAGGACTATCTAATTGTGGGGAGAGTAAGTGACCTACAACATCAGTCAGTGAATTGACATAAAATGCTAACCATAGTCCCATCTAGACAACAGACAAACCTATTTCTGTAAATAATAACTAGAAAAAGTACCATAAAATTTACTGGACCTCTCTTTGTTGTAATAAAGTTTATCCCAATCACTCAAACGACATGCAATTCATCAGTTTGAGTCTTCAAAACTATATACATCGACAGCTTTCAGGAAAATTGAAGCATTAGTTATTCTCGCAAAACTCTGCTGTCTAAATAACATCAAGAAGCTCTGAATAAGTTAAGAAATGATGAAATATTATACTTAGTAAGTCAGATAAGGAGGCTGCAGTGCTGATGATGAATAAAATTATGTTGAAAAAAATAATTTCTCTTCTAAGAGACTAAAGTGAACGGAAAGGCTGAAATACAGCAGAGAAACACCAACAAAGAATTAAGGAAAAGTGGGGATAATCACTGAGCTAGTTTAAAACTCTCTTTAATCGACTTGAACTTAGACATCACAGCAGTATTGTCTGCCTAAAGTCGGCGAACATCTTCATCTAGTACTAGATATGTTCTAATTCACCTACCATGGAGCAATGAAGTTGACAGTTGGAATGGATTTCATTTCTAGTTTGTGTGGTGTAAACTTAAATGAGGAGCGAATTTGTTCCATAGATTTCGCATCACTGTTCACAAGTATGCAACTTATATAGACTGTAGAATTTGTATGGCAGCATATACTAGACAAGCAGGTCGATGTCGGAATTCCGATTATTTGTCTTAGGGAGCTACTTATTAGATGCACCATGAATGTACACTTCGTATTCAACAGCGAAAGACAGATCGGCGGTATTCCTATCATGCCTAATCGGAGAAATCTAAGGGGAGTAACCAATTTCACATACCTACCCTGGGCAGCAGCATTTCATTTATACGCAGCACGAATGATAGCCTCAAAGGCAGGATCAGAAGAGCGAAACAGAAGTTCCACACAGAGATCCATACCACTCAGAATATAGTGCGACATCAAAATTCTCAACAGACAATTCAATGTGGTTCAAAGACTCGATGCTCATGTCATGAAAAGCGTTTCAAACAGCCAGCGGAAGATGTTCACCAACAGATTCCATCTCCGTTCGACACTGAATATTTGAAGGTTCATAGGGAAGGATGCGTAACAAGAAACTTTGACAGCCAGTCAAGAATTTATTTCTCAACAAGCATGCAAAAGGAGACTTTCAAGTGATGTCGGGCTCCAGGCTCACGACACGTATCTGAATAAGAAGAGAAGATAGTGTGATTAGGAGATTAAAGTTGATGAGCAGTCAAGGAGACGGTCAAAAGTGACGAGAGATGTACCGCTAAAGCCCTGTGTTCCACCGTAGACGCAAGAAATGGGAACTAATAACATTTAATGTATACTGCAACAAGTTTTTGTTGCTCATTATGTTCAGCCTAAAAAGCCATGAATTTTTCAAAAGAATGGTTAGTGAACAAAGAATATTCTTTTCGATAATCTGCTCTTCATTAGGTTCTACAGTTATATATCCATCCATAATAGTTAATGACTTAGTGTTATTAACAACATTATTATTTGAATGACATCGAATCAATAATAATATCACTGGATTACAGTTCGATTATGAAGAAGTGAAGAACATCAGTTCAAAGAACTTTCAATGCTGGCAAACTAAGTCTTATTTTCTACACAACCGGTGGTGAATCCCCAAGTGAAAGATGAAGTACATAGACTAGCCACTTCCAAATGTATCTACATATTTAAATGCGTTTATGGAGATAGTTGTATTGGCCACTGCTCTTGGAGCTTGGGTTTTCTTGCTCAGGGACACGAATAGTGAGAAGCATCACCTGGTCCAAACTGGCCACAAAGCTAATATTAAAGAATTCTTCTCCATCATCTGTCGGGTGTCAAACATATTTTCAAAAACATCCAGGTACTGCATATTTCAAATAGCTGAGGTTATCACGATTCGCCTTGGACAACCTGTGCTTGGTGTGCAGAAGAAGCAAGTCAAGCCATTACTACTGCTCAGCCACGCTATGAATTCATGAATTTGTTTTATTAAATTTTCCAAATTTCTCTGATATTCAAATGAACTGTCGTCAAGATTTGACAGAATAGTTCTAAAATATTTGGGCGCCGAGTGAGAAGTAGACACTTGTAAAAAATTATATTTGTAATATCTCAGCGAGATTGAAATGAGTAATTCCAACGTTTCATTCGGCAATCTGTTCCGAACTTCTTCAGGGAAATTAATCGAAATTAACATAACAGAGGTTTATATATAAAAGGAACATCACTTGTTTTAAAAAACTTTGTCCAATCATGAGTCATTCAACCAGTATAACAAACAAAATTTTATGAGCTGTGATCAAAATTTGACCTCGGACTTACAAATATTGGTCTACCTTTGTTAAACACTTTAAACAGAGTTTGAATATGTGTGTGGGTAAACAGTTGTAAAACATTTTTTAACGTCTCCATAAGAAGATATGGACAGTGGAGAATTTTGACCAAGTATTAATAATTAGTGATATATATCCATTTTTTATTTATTAATAAGGATTTTTATCTATGCATCAGTTAACATCACACCCTCATGTCTGTCCACACTGTTAGTATCTAGAATTTTATGATTAGACGTATTTTCACTACTATATATATATATATATATATAACTGTAGAACCTGACGGTGGTGAAGTTATCGACAACGCTATTCTTTGTTCAGTAATCATTCTTTCGAAAAAACTTTAATGGATATTTGTAATCGGTTACAATGAATTCCTGTCCAGACTAACAGTGTACCCCAAATGTTCATCAACCTTATTCAACAGCTATACGACAACGGCACATGTCAAGTGATCCACAACAGAAAACTCAGCGAGGCGTTTGGAGTAAACACAGGAGTCAGACAAGGGTGCTTATTATCACCAATGATATTCCTAATTGTGGTCGACTGGATTATGCGTCAGACAGTGGGAAACGAGAAGACAGGAATATCCTGGACCAACGTGAAGAACCTAGAAGACCTGGATTTCGCGGATGATTTATGTTTGATGTCACACAAATTCGAACAATTACAAGCGAAAACCGACAAACTGGTCGAATAAGCAGCAAAGACAGGACTGCAGGTGAACCTAGACAAGACGGAGGTTATGAAAATAACCAACCAACAACAACAACAACAACAACAACAGCAACATCCACCACCAATCACCATCAGCGGGAGGGATTTGAAAGAGGTTACTTCATTCACTTATCTAGGGAGCATTGTCTCAACTACAGCCAGGTGGAACGGACAAGGATGTCAAATCGAGAATCGGGAAGGCGAGAAACACATTCATCAACCTGAAACCAATCTGGAAATCTTCGTCACTCAGCCTGCATCAACAACAAAATTCGGATTTTCAATACAAACGTCAAGTCAGTCAGTTCTTCTATACGGATCAAAAACTTGGCGGGTCACTAAGAATATTTGCAACAGCCTGTTGCAGACCCTTATCAACAGCTGTCTTCGCTCTATACTGAAGATCAGTTGGCCGGAAAGAATCACAAACAAGAAGCTATGGGAACAAACAAAACAAGAACCAATCGCCCAAAAAATATGCAGGAGAAAGTGAAGGTGGATTGGACACTCGCTGAGGAGGCCGTTGGATGACATCGCGCGTCAGGCCAACGTTCGAGTGGAATGCGAAAGAGAAGCGGCAAGTGGGACGTCCAAGGGTGACATGGAGGAGATCGTGTGAGGAGGAGCTGAAACAGTATGGACTAACATGGATGCAGGTGAAAAGTACAGCAGAAGACAGAAGCAAATGGAGACGTGTAGTTGAAGCCCTATGTTCCACTAGGAACCCAAGAGAACAATAATAATAACTTACGTGTATAGTAACAGTGGATATTGTGTAATATGCGCTGGATCAAGTTCTGGTGGGAGCAGTAATTTAGCTTCAACTTCTATCTGATGTCTTGTCCCTTGACGCAGTACCAGCTTAGTATATTCAGTACGCGGTAGCGCATGTGTTCTGACAAATGTTTCAAATTGTTCATTTTGTACAAAATATTTTATGAATGTTGTTGATACTGTTGAATCTAAGATAATGAAGAAGGCAAATAACAAAAAAGGATTGAAAGTCAACATTTCAGTGAGAGACTTACTTCCAAGTACAACAACTCTTAGGAAGTAAACTAACAATAAAGTAAAATGAAAATCTTCACAGGTTTCCTTAAATTGTCGGATCAAGTGATATCTCCAAATATTAATTCATAAGGATTCAATTCATTTCAGATTTCAGGGAATGATAAAAAGACAGTTACAGAGAAGAAAATTTTCTTTTCGACGAAGTCATCAACGAGATAGCTGTACATTTTTGTATTTATAATAAATGGATGGGAAAGTTCCAGAATAATTTCCAGTCAAGGGTCAGATTAATAAAATCGCGATTAGGATTTAAAATGCCATAATAAACAGGTGGGGGACGGATCCCACACAAACAAAGTGCCAACATAATTACTGAGAAGATTGACATATTGTGCAATTAGGGGCTAGAAATTTATAAATAACAAAATAAATAGGATGGCTGGATAAAAAATCTAGTGGGATCATAAGTAATGTGACGAATAATTGTTTATGCAATCCGGGATTAAATATGTAGAAATAATAAAATGACGAAAAATAGACAGGAAGTTTGGGTATGAAAATATGGTAGTGTAAATAGGGATTAAGAAAATCTTACAAATAACATGAATAAACAGGATGGCTGGATAAAAATGGCATTGGGATAGTCATTATTAAAACAATTACCTGTTTATGATGACCATGGCAGGGACAAGGGTTGGGCGTATTTTTTTGGATACATAGCGTGGGTTTGAGTTTTTGCATGGTCAATTCAGGACATTCAGCGCCATTCAAAAAATCCTTCACAATAATATCTAAATTTGATTAAACCTATCAAAGGTAGTAAAATTAAGACATCTGGGCATAGCCGAGCCACCAGCCATCCAACTAGATTTCATCTTAAAACCCCACAAGAGTCGTTTATAAATTGATATCAAATTGGACCACGAACTAATATCAGTTACAGATCCATTGAAAACCAGGGATTACTGGATATCTGCTTCGTCCAAGTTTGCGACTCGTCGGCAGCACAAACCCGTTGGGTTTCACACAGAGGATCTTCAGGCTACAAGGCGATCCCCTCAAACATTCAGCCATCGGGAAACAATCCAATTACCAATTCATCAATTCCATTTTTACCGGTTCGTGATTTCAGCGCGGCCACCAGCCAGTGTTATCTGCGAAATTTTGTCCTCACGCTTGACCTAGTGCTCACAGCGTAAGAGTCGCGGACTAGGACGAAAGAGGTATCCAGTAATCCATGCTTGCTTTCAGTAATTCTCTAACTGATGTCAGCCTGTGGGCAAACTTGATAAAAATCAAAATCACAACAGATAACTCTCGTGAATACCGAATCCTTTGAATTGAGTAAACTCCAGAGAAACCTCTTGGAATTCATAATTTAAGATGAGATATATTCAATGCATCATTTTTTCCACAGCAATGATAATTTCGTATTCTCTGCCTGAGATTTCCTCTTGATTTGTCTTTCACTGATCAATTTTTAAACATTCCACTGACGCCTTACCGTTTACCTAAAAATAGCATTATGTCAGTAGCAGCGAGAAAAATGTTTCGTCTGCTTAAAGCTTGCAGTTAGATCTGTATTAATAGGTGTCCTCAGAAGTGAAATGAATCCCCCAAGAGTCTATTAATGATGAAAAGGACAACCTAGTTATTTCATTGCACAGTTGAGATTCGTTTGCTTTTAAATCTATCATTTATATGTGTTTGAGGAGTATCCTGAAGTTTTTTGGAAGTTGATACCACTTTTATGCGTTCAGAAACAATTCTTGGTCATATCGAGCTTTCCTTTGAAAATTTAACTTATATACCACGATAGATGTACTGCTGTAACGACAGGCAACAGATCGCTTACTGAGAAAATCAACAGATATTTATAGATTTTTATGTATATTATTATTTGTTATGGTTAGCAGAGAAGCAGCGTCTTGTGACTGGTCGTTTTCTTGATGAAGGTTTTCCTGTGCTGCTTGTGACCATTTCTTAGAAGTTTAGGCCATATATCTGGTAATCGTCTTTGCACACGTTGGTGAGTTCTTCAAGGTTAGGCTTTGTTATTGGGTTTTTCTAATGACACCGATTCCAGACGTAAATATTGATGTAAACTGTTGTCTACAATTTGGGCTTGCAAACAGTTCTCACCACACTACTATATCCCTTAGATATAGTGAAGATTCGCAGCTCAGGTAGATGATTTTGATGCAGTTGTGTTCTGTAGGCTGGATAGTTTATTTGAAAAACTTTCATTATCTTAATAGACAACAGCGTCAGCACATACTTCAATTAGAAATAAGCTATCAACATGCTTCATGAATTAATAAGTCATTTCTCCCGGCAACCTTATAGTGTACTTTTTCATGAACTAGTCCAATTGTATTGGTATTGATTTTTTCCTTGACCTGAAATTTGATCTTTTATTCATGTGATTTCCAACCGATGGATTAGCAGATCCTATTTCTGTCAATGTATATTGATTACCGATTCCCCTGAATACCCGGCTTCTTGAAATTCTTTGGCATCTCTTATATTTCCTCTGTCTAAAATTTGAACATTATCCCAAGTAAACTTGTGCCCGTAGTCCTTTTTGTTGCCGCCATTATATTTCCATGGATGGGAAGGTAAAGAAGGTGTCAACTTTGACCAATGTAGTGTTTTTCACAGTCGCTGTGATTCACCTCGTAGATGATATTGGTTTTGTCTTTTTTTACTGTTCAGTATTTTGGCTGATAAAATCGCCAGGGATCTTTTAGAATCCTGGTATTCAGGTGAATTCGAAATCAATAGACAAATCCATGTAGACAGGATCTACAAATCCACAGTAAAAAGGGAATCACATGAACAAAAGTTCAACTCTCAGGTCAAGGAAACAATCAATACTATTACATGTGGGTTAGACAGTGGGGAAATACACAAGACAACAAATCACATTCAAGGTTACCGGGAGAGATGACTATCAAAATGAAATATGTCTATTGAAACAATGGAAGTTCCTCAAACAAACCATCCAGTCCAGGGAATATAGCTACACTGAAATGTTGCCTCCCTTCTTTGGCTTATTGACCTCCATTTTTATTTTCATCACCAATATAGCCTTTCAACTGGACTTGTATTCACCTTTAGCGCACTGCGTGACGCTGTATTATTTTTCCATATTTCTCTATGGTAAGTGTGTCTGTGAGCCGATCGCTAGAAACATGTTGCATAAATACACATTAGATAGTTCAGATAAATGACCGTGATGCTGATAATAAATTAAATAAATTTGGTATAATGATTGTGTCACCTATTAAAGATGTCAGTTGGATGTTCACTAGTGGCTTGCTCTATTCAGTTAGGAGTTACCTGGGTTATTCTAGTGGGAAGTTGTGATCACTGAGGCATGACAGATCGTGTGTGACACTGCATAGTGCTAGTTGCGCTCAATCCTTAATCGGAAGAAGTTAGAATTCATAGGCTGACCGTTGGATCGCGTACCGTCGGCTAATGAATGGTCTACGAGCTAGCTAGTCCTGTACCCGGAAGATCCTTGACTCGAACACCTGTAGTGGGTAAGTACTTTTGAAGAGTTCAAGACTAGGACGAAACAGTCGTCCAATACTGCCGCCTGGTTTTCAAATGGTTGTCTAACCAGTATCATTTCATGTTTGCAAGAATATAGTTAAAACGCAGTGAGCATAATGGTTGCAGAGTGGACAACCTTTATTCCAAAACACCCTAACTTTTAAAGCAAATGCTCTACTAGGACGGACAAGCAACTTTATTAGCCGTGAAGCCGTGGTTGATTCATTAATAATAATAATAATCCCATTGGACAGTTATGATTTATTTATTTATGGGCAAATTTTCCAAGGTCATGCAACCAGTCATATTTGTTTTGCATATGGCTTGCATAACTAAGGGTTTGGTAAGTATAATATTCCCCATAGTTTGTCCGGTTGTCATTTTTCCCAGTCTGACTTTTGTATCCATCTCAGAATTGGACCTATTTTCAAATGACTAGTTTGTCATTGTGCTACGTGCTAAGTCTCAGGCAACAGTAAAGAATAGATACCAAAATCAAACGACCTTGAGCGAACCAATCAGTTCGCCCAGTATTACAAATGCATACTTTTTATGATCTTCGTTGCAAGTTTCATCCGTATTCAGGGTTAAGATTAGGGTAGGTTTACAGTAGGGTTATGGTTATGGTTAGGGTTAAACTTCCAAGGAAGATTGGGGTTAGAGTGCTTCTTCAATCGAAGATTAGGGGTAGGATGAAACTTCCAAAGAAGAACGTGAAAAACTTCCATTTTTAATTCTGAGCGATGTGACTGGTTGGTTTAGGGTCGTTTTGCTTTGGCGTCAATGTTTTACTGTTACCGAGGCACATTATAGTTGCGTTAGACCAACTCACAACCCAGTGTCACACTGTCATAACAAGATGTAACAAAGGATCGCCAGAAAAATCCAGTTTGGAAAAAGAAATCATGTGACACCTATTTCCAAGTAAAGGTGACGCCTTGTTTTATGTTTCGTACGGAAATAACGTTGTCATTATTTATTCAGAGACTGTCATCCAGTAATGTTGATGCAGGATAAATTATAACATTCACGTAAGACTAAAGTTTGCCAACTGATGTAAACGACCAGCGAAACGACCTTGGACAACTAACCAATCGTCACTCTGGTTTCGTATTTCACTTTTGTATTGACAATAGGCGATAAGGAAGGACGAGTTGTCTAATGTTTTTTGAAATCTTGAACAACTATCCACAGACAGACAACCAGGGAGGAAGTTATAGACCGTTACCATCATCCGAATAGATTAACAGCACTTTAGATTATTCTTCTGAGTGGCATTTACTTCGAGTGATAAGTCGGTTGCGAGTTGACATAATATACAGTCATCTCAATGAATTCCTTTTCCAAGCTTGGTTTGTAATAACACGAAGAATCTCATTACCAAACTAGGAGACATTTCTGTTAAAATAAGGCCTTTGTTTGGTCGTTTGCTTTCGGTAGGTATACTTTATCATTCTATAACCAACATTTATTCATATAATAAACTTTTTAAAGTTCTTAATATACTACTTACTATCTGTTGCTGATAAATTTCTATCAATCCGTTTCAGCATTGTCTTCGGTACACTTGAACCACGTACATCTTGTATAAAGTACTGTCCATTGGGAAAAACATCTATCACATTGAAAGTGTAGTTGACATTATCACATGTAAGGCATATTATGTTCTCACTATCTGATAATAAGGTCCTTAATAGAAGAAAAAGAAGAAGAAAATAGTTGAACAATTAGTTACTTGATGAAAATATTATATGACCTATCTCAAACGCATCTTAACTGCCTCTGTTAAGCGATACAGGTGAATTTGAAACGTTACCATCAACATGTTAAAAGTCAATCGGAACGAAGAACGAATATTCACTTCCGTTATTCCTTTCTTCAGGTTCTTACAATTATAAATTATAATATTTATTATCTTTACAATAGTGGCCAGTTATGCGGCGGATACATTTTTAAAATAGAATAATACATTAGTTATGGGGTGTCAAAATAGATAGTCGTATTTGTGTGACAAACGTGCTGGGCTGAAACTGATTACCAAATACTGTGAAATGTGAGTCTATGGTGATGGTGATTAGTCATACTAGATTCGTAGAATGTGGGGTAGGAAGTAAATTAACAAGCCAGTTCAAGGTTGTAAAAGGTTTCAAGTGAGTGGTTAGTACAAAGTAGTACTTATTAAAGAGACGGAGATAGTAAGACTGCAGTGAGAGGTTCATAATGAAATAACGAGTGTGTGAAATGAAACAGGTGGAGGCATATGTTCAGAAAAGAGATAATATCACTAATAATAAGTCCAGATAGTATAAATAGTAAATTCGATATTATTGAGACAATGTTTGCATGAAAGGTATAGATTATAACGAATAATAATAGTAATAATTGTAATCATAAGCAAGGTCAAAGAAAAAGACCAATAGGGATAAGGGGAAGAGGTACTCTTGGTGAGAAGAAGAAAATTCAATTCAAGTTTGGCCATGGTAGGAACAGCGTCTGAACGTGTTCTCCTTTTGGATACAAAGTTACAGTTCAGTCGATCTTGTTGCAAAAGATTCAGCTAAGTGTAGGAGATGCAAGCGAACTGTACGTGACAACGACTTCGGAATTCGGTATATAACCCTGAAACCTGTGCTGGCGTCGATGCGGGATCCAGTACCTACCAGGTTTCACAGGATCAAGCTTTTTATGCACTTAATTTCCCTCTTACTGAAGCGAGCTGGTAAATGTCCTCGAACCCGTAGACAAACCTGCCTAATCCTATACCCTACATAACTTGAACCATGGTCAGAGTTGAAATGATATATGCATGAAGAAGAGCTGAGGTTAAGCAAGACATCTTTGAGTTGCTGAGTGGACATTGGACAGCTACTGAAGGATAAGACACATGCGCATATCAGAAACTTTTCTTTGTCATCCTGGCTAAAAGTTGCGATAGAATCTCCACAGGAGTATCTCACTTGAATTGTAGACGTAAAAACAGAGGCTTTTTCTCCACCGTTGCTAGTTCATGTTTACGACTATTGTAACCTATGCTGACTTTAATGAACTTCTCTGGATATCCCTTCTCCCTCAGAATGTCTTAGATAATCTAGAGTTCTTCCTCTACACAGTCTTCCGAATAAGTCTACCTCGCTCTAAATGCTAACCATTTGATAAGATTACGTTTGTATTTCATCGATACGAATCTAAGGAATTGTATATACTGAGTTTTGGTCTCTAGCTTAATAAATATGGTTCTTTTGACGGAACCATACCCTCCTCTGGGTGGCAGAAAGTCGAGGAACTGTACAGGGTCGTTGTTTTCTCCTTCGTAGGTGAAATGGACTGCTGGGTGAGCATAATTCATAATTCAAATCATTATGTAACCCTTCATCGCACACTACAAAATTATCATCCATATAGCGATGATACATTCCCATGTTTTTCTATTTCACCTTTCAACAAGCTATTTCCTAGTTTTGCTAGAAATATGTTCACAAAAGAAGGTCCTAGTTGCGATCTCATTGCCACTCCATCAACCTGTCTAGACATTTCATTTGTTATACATTTAACCAATAGTTGTAACGGTAACAAATGTTATATTTCATAATTGTAAGATCCTGAAGAGGAGAATTTACGGAAGTGAATACTCTTCGTTCAGATTGACTTTTAATTCATGATGTGGGAATATTTGACACTATTAAATCATCAAATTAGTTTTTAGAAAGATATTTCTCATAACGTTCTATGTAGGGAAGTTAAGGCCATCATACATCACAGAGTCTCTACCTTTGCAGTTTGTTAATTCTTGTATTCCACCTGTTGTTTCTTATTTTTCCTACTCAACATCGTTATACTGCGAAGGGCACTAAAAGCTGTCAGTGAGGTGAGTGAGGTGTCGCTAAATCATCTTCTTAATACTGTTGTAGATAGATCGACAGACACATGGACTCCTGAAAGAAATTGGCAAATAGTATCTTTTAAGACTCTGTAAATTCCCTAAATACACAACTCTACCCTTACTGGATCTCATCAAGTAGAAGTAGAAGCAACTCTACTTATTCCTTTACGTTCCTAAAGAAACATAGGACTTCAAGCTAGAGTTTCAAAGTTTCGGTAGCAGTGGTGTTTATTTTAATGGGATGTGGTTGCTGGCCTCATGACCGACCTTCCCTCTTTACCATTCTTGTTAGTGGCTTGGTGAGGTGAGTGAGTGCATCGACCAAGGCTCGAACCCCGGACCACATGCGTGGATGGCAAGCATTCTATCACGGTACCAGAGATGCAAAAGAAGCAGCTATAAGAGACTTTAAGTTTGGCGGACGAAGTACAAAACTCTACAATACCTTATTTGGTCGGAACACATTTTATATGCTGAGAAAAGTGTGTAAGGCAGGAAATTACTGACATACTGTCGAACTCTAAGTAAAAGGCCTTATTTCTGTTTGCTTTCATTGTTACATTGTTGTTAATATTTTCGCTTTAATTCTAATTCTGTATTCGTATATTCATACTGAACAGCAGTATCAATGTAAATGGCATATTTTAATTACTACCCATGTATTGTGTAATGAAGAAATTAAATGTAGCACTGTACTGTATCAAAAGTACTGTGTTTAGAATATTACCATTATTATTATTATCATTATTAGTGAGTGATGTGGCCTGATTTTAGTATAATCATGAATGAGAATTGTTTTAATAGACTGATGAAGGAAAAATGCAAGGAAATTTAGAACGAGAAAATTTCCGAGAGAACAACTGTGGTTTAAATAGATTCTCCTTCACGCACTTCTTCAGTTATAAATTTATGAATGCAAGAGTACAATAACCAGTAAACGAATATAATGGAGATTATATCACGACTTATATATTGTGGTGAAAAAGTACAAAATGGAAAAGTAGTCCGTTAGGAACTAAATGACATTCCATTAGAGAATATTGAAAAATGGTTGATTGATAACAATAATAATATTTCCGAATGTACGTTATCTTATTCAAGTATTGGTTTGTAGGGATTGGATTGATTGATTACAGGATTTCATCATAAGCTGACATCGGTTAGAGGACCATTGGAAAACCAGCTGAGAGCACTTGACAGCTGTTTCTTAGTAGTTTATGATTCTTCATCTGGGGTAAGGGTGACCAGTAGGGTACAGCAGGTTAGGTGTGATGACAAATACTACCTGAAGACATTGGCTAGAGGTCGCGCTATGTCGTGAGTTGGCGGGTCATTGGATCGAGTCCCAGTGGCTTAATGGTCTGCGAGCTCGCCTTGTAACCAGATGATCCTGGGTTCGAATCCTGGTGGGTGCGTACTGCTGAAGAACCACAAACTAGGGTGGAACAGCTGGCTATCCAGTAATCCCAGTTAGTTTTCCAATTGTTCTCTAACCAATGTCAGCTGATGATGAAATCCTGTACATTATCTTATATTGATTTTTATTCAAATGTCTAATCATCAATTTCACTCATGTATATGAATGAAGTGAAAAGTTGCGTGAGTAACCTGGTATGATTTTGAGTAATAATTTGTGATCGAAACGTCATCACTTAATATTACTGTATAATACTGTGTGATTTATCAAAATTAAATCTTATCTATAATGCAGTTATACTCAACCACGTCACCCAAGTTTTATACTTATATCAAAAAATGGTTAATTTTTATATAATTAATCTTTAGAAAAATTTAGAAAAAACAACAGATTGAGCGAAGGAATATGTATTCCTTCTCAAATAACTCCTCATCATCGGCTGGCTCGCTCTACACTCATATATATGGTTTTTCACATCAAAATGTTTTACCAATCAAGTGGTTATTTTAGTTAATCAGTTTTAGACAAAGAGGGGGTAAAATTAAGAGGTTAAACGTTGTCAAAACAATCAAATGATAGGTGTTAGTAACAGGATATCCAAGTTTTAAAGGAGGGCTGAAAATTGCTTACGGAAATCAAGATAAGTTGATTCTTAGGCGTTACATACAAGTTGTTGCATAATCAAGAAATTTGCAAAATAGCAATGATGACTAAGAAGAATAGGATGATTCATGGGCAATTGGAATTCATCTGAACAGGCCAAATCGATGTGTTCAAAGGAAATTTGTACAGCCCCTTTCTTGGCCAACTTTGGTGACAGACGATATTTCCCCTCTTTTCGTAACTATCTTTTGACTTTGACTCATATTCAGTGTCCCCATTGTTAATGTGTGTTCGTGTGTATTTTGTGTCTGTCGCGTTTCTGTCACCTCAATGACACTTGTATTCTGTTGACTATAAAACAGCACTATATCACCCAACTGTTCATTCACACTTCATCGCATTTTTCTGACTATATACCCTATACACATTTGATTGATTATGTTAACTAACGGACTATCATCTCAACTTACACATGCACCCCAATACAGTTTCTGATATTATTTTCATTTGCCTTTATTGGCTATATGTACTCTATTATTCATGGATTTATAACTGTAGAGCCTGAAGAAGAAGGTATCGAAAACAATTGTTCGCTCAAAATCTTACTTTGATAATTGTTACGATTCTAGCTAATTCTATTAACTTGCTTGTATCTTACGTAATTCTTCTTAGTCGTCATTTCTATTTTACAAATTTCTTGATTATGTAATAATCTGTTGCTAACCCCTATAAATTGACTAATCTTGAATTCTTTTTTTTTCCTCCACGTTCGCCAGTAGAACATAGAGCTTCAAGCTAGAGGCTTGACGTTTCTGTAGCACTGTGTATTTTACAGGATGGGGTTGCTAGCCTCATATACAACCTTTCCTCTTCACCAACAGTATTTCTGGCTTAGCGAGGTAAAAGAGTGCGTCGGTCGGAGATCGAACTCCGAACCATGTGCATGGTCGGCAAGCGTCCTAACAGCTATGCTACCGATGCACACAATCTTGAATTCTGTAATTAATTAATTTTCACCCCTCCTTCAAAACTAAGATATCTTGTTACTAACATCTATTAGTTAGTTGTTTTGATGACCTTTAACTTCTTAATTTTATTCCCCTTTGATTAAAACTGATTAACTAAAATCACCAGGTGAGTGGTAAAACATTTTGTTGTGAAAAACTGTATATGAGTGTAGAGCGAGCCAGCCGATGATGAGGAACTAATTGAAAATCTAAATCCGTAAATGGGAATTCGGAAGTTTACAATAATTTACCAATCAATATGGCCATAGAAGCAGTTAAAAGAAAACTAACCACTGATGCCGAACTTAGTCACAGAAAAAAGTTACCCAGTGAGGAAATTATTTTAGGAATTTATTTATTCTGAGGTGAAATATATAGACAAACAGAATGTGTAGCAATAGGATCACCAATTTCCCTTATCGTAACATATATCTTTTATGGATGGGGGAGGATATATAGCCTACCAATAGTCAGTAAGAGTATTAATGAGTTGCGTCAGCTGAAGAGCATTTTTCCATTCCTATTACGAAATCCTAAATAATGTCACTCTTTATCTAAATACATATCACATATGAATATATTTCTTAAGTTTGAATTAGCAAAAGTACAAGGTAGCATTTTAGGGAACGAGCCATATGAGTACACACAATCACTTCGTCCTATTATATATTAGACGTATTTCAGACTTTGCCTTCATAAGTACACCAAAGTATAAACATAATAATGCGTGGCCAACTCGCAGTCCCAAGTAGTTCAATTCGGGAACCAAAAAAAGAGAGTAATATGTATACTTACCAGTATAAATGTGAATGTTTTGGATCTGGACCTGTTCCAAGGAATAGTACTTCGTCAACACCATCATAATGTAATATATCCCTTACATCAAACTCTGGTGTAACTATCCATTTTGGTGATTGTGGAGCTTCAGGTTTCAACGGCTGAAAAAAGAAGTTTTTATTATTAGTGTTAATTAGGAAGCCGATTTCACTTTCAGTAAAAACTTAATGACTATTAACCAGAATGTTCATCATTAAACTGCTCCTTTGAAGATCTTTATTTATATAAGTCGAAACACTTGTGATCATGTCTCACTTTGGCTTGGAAAAGCGGTAACCAAATAAATAAATAGTTTCGTTCTGTCTCAACTAGTGTATGGTGAACAACACGTCAAAGTAGATGAGTCATTTATGGTTGTGGATCGAATAATAAATAGTCTGTCTGAAGGCACACGTCTACATCTCTAAGCCATAGCTGAAGTCGTTTTTTATTCCTTTGCGTTCCGAGGGGAACATAGGGATTCAAACTAAGAGATCTGAATTTTCGGTAGTGGCAGTGTTTTAATTTACGCGATAGGGTGGGGGCCATCATCCTCAAACCCAACACTCACCGTTAACCGAATTTACCATTGGCTAAGCGAGGTTTAGGAGTGCGTCATTTGGGAATCGAACCACGGACCACATGTGTGGTTGGCAATCATTTTGCCACTCAACCAGCTTCTCACTCAGTTGCACTGCCACTATGGATAAAATCTAGAGAGTTGGCCTCTTAAGACAATCACTTCCTTCTGTTTGGGAGTCCAGGTAGTATCCTGGCGCTCACATAAACTTTGAGCCTTTATGCGGTGCCTGTAATGTGCCAAGTTTTGTGATTAAATAAAAAACGGCAATAGTCATCTAAACATTTAACAAGAAGAAGAAGCAATTTACAACAGAAATCCCTTATTTGCCATCAGTTTCTTGAAATACTAAATGTAGTCTTGACTAATTTCAGTTTCATCTGAAAACGGGATTTCGACGAGTTATCTTTCTTTACTAGTTTTCGTGTTAGAATTGGAATATACGGTCTGAAACTCTGGGATTTTAGGAGTGGTGCTGTTGCTAGCTCGTCGGTCAACCTTTTATCTTTTTTGATCCTACTACTGGCTTACTTCTTTGGTCCATGAGTGAGCTGGCTGGAAATCTAACCGACACTTCACTCATGGCTGGCAAGCATACTACCGTTGAAACACCGATGAACTTTGACCATGATATGCTGACCTTTATAATTGTAGCCTTGATTGGACATCCTTTCTCAAAAATGCCTAAATAAATAATCAAGGCTTCTTCTATTATTGGCTTCACTTAATACCCAGCAACGCATTGAATTTCGTTTTCATTTCGGAGAAGCATTAGACTTAACTGCGGTGAACGTATTGGCTTGTTAACACAGAAGTTTCGGTAATCATACATAAGCGGTCTAGGTGCGGTCGATTTACCAGACTCATTTTATGTGAGCGGATGATATTCAAATATGAAACCCCTAACTTCTGTGAATATCTCATGTTTACACAGACCACTTACAGTTCGAGTACGCAAAGTTATTTTTCAGTAGCCTATGAAATAAAGTTCTAATCAAGATAAATACGAAAGACCAAGACTGAAGAATCCACTATTTATATATATATATATATATACGACTACAATTCAGAAGTGATATACCAAGGGAAACAATAACCAATAAGTCAACAATATCGATTCAAAGTAAGTTTAATGCTGGTTGGCTACAGCCCAAATTTTCCATATGACCGATTGTGATTGCGAAATGAAAGATGAAGTACCTGGGCTAGCCACCTCTAAATGCATCTACCTATTCAATTGCTACGGTAAAGCCAATGATCGCTGCTCTAGGAACTTAATTTCTCGTGCTCGGCAACACCTACCAGTGTAGTTGAATAGAGGCATTGTCAGAACCGTCAACAGTTCTGTATTGGGCCACCTTGTGCAAACGTGCCAAAAATCTAGCCATACTAAAGAGTCTTCCTCTGTCATCTTTCAGCGATCGAATAAATAACCAGTAGCCTCTAGATACGGAACACTCAAAACAACAGAGACCACTGTAGTTCGTTATGTGTGCAAATGAAACAGTTTCAGCCATTATATTCACAAATTCTGTGCCACTTCCCATAATTTTTCTGATATTGAGTCAGCTTGATGTTGTATTAATCCATATTATCTCCCTGTACTATTGATACTGTTGTTACTGTTATTAGTATTATTTCCTTTAATTCCTAGAGAATTATAGGGCTTCAGCCGCACGTCTACATCGCGTTCGGTTCTCTGCCAACGTTTTCATCACCTGGCTCCACGCCTAGCCATATGGTTTCATCTCCTCTTTGCATCACTTTCTCCTCCATGTCACCGTCGTACTGACGACCAACAAGCCGCTTCCCATTCGGCCGGGTTTTACTCCTGCATACTTGTTGAACAGTTGATTCCTGCTGGGTTGGTTCCTGCATTGACGGAAATCCCTGCTGATGATCTATTCCGGCCGGCCATCTGATCTTGAGTATTGAGCGAAGACAGCTATTAATGAAAGCCTGTAGTTTGTTCGAAGTGCCCTTCGTGACGCATCAGGTCTCTGATTCATATTGCAAGTAGCACTGACTTCATATTGGAGTTGAAAATTCGGATCTTATTTTTCATGCTAACTGCTGTTGATCTCCACATAGACTTGAGAGTAATGAAAGCTTTCCTTGCTATTCCGGTCCTTGCTTTTCTATCCTCATCAGTTCCGTCAGCCTGTAGTTGAAACGATGCTTCCCAGGTAGGTAAAGGAGGTTGCTTCTTTCATATTTCTTTCATTTATTCTGATTGTTGTCTGTTGTTGTGGTTGCTGCTGCTGTTGGCGAGGAATCTTCATCACCTTTGTTTTCTCTATGTTCACCTGAAGTTCTTCCTATCTTTGATGCTTCTTCTATCGCCAACCTGTTGCTTTTCACTTGCATATCTTCCAGATTGTGGGAAATCAGACATCTATCATGAGCGAAGTCCAGATCCCCTAGGTTCTTTTTGTGCGTCCATTTTATGCGTCTCCTCTCTGCCTACTGTCTGTCGCATTATCCAATATAAAGCAATCAGGAAAATCATTGGATATAGTGGGCAGCCAGCCTCGTCTTACTCCTGTCTTCACATCGAAGGATTCCGTGAGTTTCACGTTGTTGATTACTTAGCATGCAGCACTGTCGTACAACTGTTTGATGAGATTTATAATTGTTAGCGGCATCCATATTAGTGAAGTAAATTCCAAATCACCTGTCGGTCGATGCTGTGCTATCGAAGGCCTTTTCAAAGTCAATGAAGTTGAGAAAAAGACGTGGCTGTCAGTCTAAGGTCTGTTAATTGGTGAGACGTAGTGTTGAGATTTGATCGATGCATGACTTGTTCCTCGTGAATCCAGCCTGTTCCAGGGCTTGTCTGATTCTCTCCAGGATGATGCGGCTATCGCTACTGTTAATTCAAGCGAATATGAAACAGCATTAACTTTGTTGTCAGTTTCGCATAAATGTAGAACCTGATGAAGAGGAATTTATGGAAAAATATATTCTCTGTTCACCAAGCAAATCTTTTAACAAGGCAGCTAGACTTACAATTCTTAGTTTAGCTATACCTCTGTAGGCTTTTTCAGAATAATCCCTTGGTAGTATAATTAACATTTCTTGTCTCTCCTCGTTAATCAATGGTTCAACATGAACTTGCTTCATCTATAAAAATATCAAAAAGGAAAAGGAAATTTAAGGAAAGAAAGAAAGTATAATGAAAGTATTGGTAGTTATTAAGTTTGAAGTAAAGGTCTCCTAGACGTTCACTATCTCATTCATGTAATAGTTGGACAAGAAGAATTCAGAGATGGAGGCAATAATAGCGGGGATTTCATTGATTTCAGGTCCTCACTGGTGTTACCAACAACACAATGAACTTGCCTGATAGTTCTGGTGAGAAGCGAGTACCAATGGGATCCAGTAACTTGAGTGTGAAGACAGACAGCTGTCGATGACATTTACCTCAAAATTAGCAGACGTTCGCATCAATGAGTCAGTGGGTAGAGTCTCAGTGGCTTGATAAGTCAATGAGGTCGTCTTTTAACATGAAGGTCTTGTGGGTTTGATCACTGGCGATGGGTTGAAGAGTCTCAAACCAGGAAGAAACAGGTATCTAGTAATCCTTATTTTTCAATGGTACTTTAAAAGATATCCTTTTGTGATCAAACTTCAAAAGAAGTCCTGCTGTTGCGTACAATTAACTTGAAAGTTTAGATTGTCTATAACTGAAAAGTCGATGGAAATTGTAGAACTCTGGTACGGATGAAACTTGCTGAGTGCGAACACCCCAACAGTCTTAAGCAACTAATATACTGATTTGTAAATTTTCATATTGTCAGAAATATAATTTGGCATCCAATTCTATACAAAAATATAAATTTGAAAATTAATCTGATACTCGCTGGTGACTGGCTAAAAAGGAAGTTGCCTGGAGTTCTGGTGAAGAGTCGTGTCCAGTGAGGTTCATAGAGTCAAGAGTGAGGATGGAGTTCCCATCGATGGCACTGGTTGGTCCAAGTGGCTTCGTGGTCTACGAGCTCACCATGTAGCCTGAAGTCTCTGGGTTTGAAGCCTGGCGATGTGCGCACGGCCGAAGAATGGCAAACTAGGACGAAACAGCTGTCCACTAATCCCTGTTTTTCAATTGTTCTCTGACTTGTATCAGTCCGTGGTATAACCAGGGACGAATAGAATCCCTACAAACTAATTCTTGAAAATTTAATATGTTTATGAATCAGTGCGTGATGGTGGTTACTGCTGGATTTCCATAAAATCAATTGCACAGATACTCGCAATGACTTCATGAACTTTCATAATTCTGCTTCTTATTACTGTCTCTTCTTTAAAGTCTAATTTTGCACTTTTAAAAACACTGTGTCTTGGTTTGTTTGTGTCTATCCAAGTGGGCTTCAGTTTATGTACTAATAAGAGATTACTACCACAGACCTTCATACATACTTCTCTATAAAAATGCTAGTTTATGATAAACGTAGAAGGGAGTCTTCAATTCCATTTAAGAACTGTTATTTAGGCGAGTGACTGACCGTAGAACTGTTTATGAACAGATAATTTATAAATCAGCAATGGAGATTCATTTGATTGAGTTAATTCAGTATGAACTGCGAAAAGAACATGGATATAAATATTTACTTCTTCCAGGGTAAACTTCTTATACTCGCTCAAACAGAAATCATACTTAATTGTTTGTGAACCATGTTAAAAGGCGATATGCTTTTTGTAATATTTGACTAAAAATATGCGGTAGTATGTGTCAGTCAGAGCAAGGTGACTACTGTTTAATTCGCTTACAGTTGATGCTTAAAGAGAAACGGTATTAACTGTCATGACTTCATTTGCTGTATAATTCAATCTGTTCACAGACCTGCAGCTTATCATAGTGGTTTGTACCCCATCTATCGTTTTATGAACATCTTTTTTCTCTTGAGTACTGCACTTTGAATTGTATGTTCTGAAGAATATTATTGAGCACCAGGGTAAGTAATATCGGATATTTTTGGTGTATTTGGTTTATTTGTGAAGTTTTCACTGCCTCACTAGGCAAAATCCTCAGAGCATACTTCAAGTTGAAGTGAGCATTTAAGTTCCTCCTGGAGTTTATTAATCAACTATCCTGGTAACTACTGAACGTGCCTGGTTGCCTTTGTGTATTTGCTCACCCTCTAGTCCACTTGAATTGGTACGGATCGTTTCCTTAACCTGAAAGTTGATTTTTTGTTCATGTGATTTCCATTTTATGGATTGGTAATTCTTGTCTGTGTCAGTATGTCATGCTTTTGAAAACTCTCTGCAGTTTTTGGTTTCTCCTATGTCTAAGACTTCAGCATTGTACCAATCATTTGTGTTGAGCGGTAGGTTCTTGAGTGGTTTGTTCCCATAGTTTCTTGTTGCTTATTCTTTCTGGTCGGCCATTTGATCTTCAATATGGAGCCAGTGAATGCAGCTGTTGACAAAAATCTGTAACATTTGGGAAAAGCTTTTCACGACGAGAACGCGGAGTTTTCAAAACGTGATAGAGAACATTACCCAGCATGGCTGCAAAGAGGAGGCACCGGTTTAATCAGAAGTACCATTATTGAACATCCGATCAACACCTCACACAACATCTCAACTGAGTCTTTCAAAGTAATTTACAAAGTCAACAGAAAGCTACCAAAAGCAGTATGTTTCCGACTTCTCTGTACTGCGGAAGCCCTCGCAATATGCATCGAGAAGCCGGAGCTGTGTTTTCGAAAAAAAATTAGTCCAACCTCTACAACTACCATGGACCTAGTTTGGTATGTTCCCTAAGTTTCTGTTTTTTTTGCTTCTTTCCTTCTCCTTTTTCGTTTTGATCTTTTTCCGTTCACTGTGTGTGTGATTCTTACTCCCTCTGTCTTCATTCGATTCACCTCATTTTTTCAGTTATAAAAAGTTATTTTAAGTTTGCTTTCATACTTTTCCTGTTCACATTTATAATTCGTTTAAAAAAAAACTATTTTACAATTATATCTTAATTCTGTGCAATTTTTGTGTTTCTGAGGCTCTTGTAATCTATATTCGCACCTCCTAACTCCCATCTCAAGTTGAAAATTATTAGTTCAATTTTGTTTCCATGCTTAGTTTTACACAATTGTTATCCATTCTAATCCTGTGTAATTTTATTTCTAGGCCTCTCATAAACCATATCTAGTTGAAAATAATTATCACTTTTTATTTGTAGAGTCAAACTAGAATTGTCTCCATGTAAAATTTTGTATTTAAATGCGATTGTACAGATTTTGAAAATGAAATCGCCGAAAAGATATCTTTGGTGAACTTCGTGTCCTCTTCTTTCTAATGTCCATATGGTTATTTCCACGAACGCGAAGTTTTGACTGATAGAGAAGAGAAGAACTGACTAACTTGACATTGGTGTTGAAAATACGAATCTTGTTCTTTTTACTAAGGGCAGAAGACTTCCAAACTAATTTCAAAGTGTTAAAGGTGTACCTTGCCTTTCCAACCCAGGCGTTGACATCCTCATCTCTTCCGACTGCCTGCAGCTGCAACGAAGCTTCCTAGATAGGCGAAGGAAATAACCTTTTTCAGATTTCTCCTGCTGATGGTGTGTGATGCTGTTGGCTGGTTATCTTCATTATCTCTCTCTTCTCTACGTTCACCTGGAGTCCTGTCTTCGCTGCCTGCTTCTTCTACAAGTTTGATGACGTTTTTCTGCGATTCCTCGAAATTGCGTGACATTTGGCACAAATCATCTGCGTAATCCAGATATTCTACAGTCTTCTTATGGGTTCAACGTATTCCAATCTTTTCGGTGTCCACAGTTTGAAGTATAATCCATTCCAGTACCGCGAGTACTGGATAATGATGAAAGGATGCTAGCTGGCAATGAAGTTCAAAGCCTAAGTTGCATTCTTTTTAGTATTCGCTGCCTAGATCTGCAAATATTCCAACGAACACTAGTATTTCCGTTGAAATTGAAAAGCATTCATTGTAAATATTTACTGTTATGGCAAGTGAAAGATCCATTAACCTCAGGATAAACGCATATTTAGGAAGAAATATGAATCAGGTGCACTTACCAGATTAACCCATCCATTGTCATAAGCAGTTTTATATATCTAAAAAGCAGATAAAAATTGGATCGCAGAAAGAAAATTACAAAACATCATAACATTTTAAAACACTTATAAAGAAAATAAATAGTAATTGAAGAAGGCTAACTTAATTACATGCTACCATATATTACTGATTGTCTCATTTGAGTAGTTAGACGCCACTCACACAAACTAGCAATGCTTACAGATCAAACCGAAGTGATCTGAACATCAGACAGTAGTTCCGCCTATTAGGGGTCCAGCTCATCAGCGATGTACCCTTTATGGCTCAGCTTGGACAGCCGATTCGGTTCAAATCATCTGGATTCTGGCTAGCTACCTGAATAAACTGGGGTTATAAATGGAACCGAATTCGCGACTCGTAAATAATGCTGATGGAGAAGAGATTTACACTGTTTTTCTGAAACGGATACTGGCGAGATTACAGTATATATGATCTGCGTGATATCATCAACTACAGTCAAGAAAGAAGGTATAACTGCAAGACAATTTTTAATGCCGATTAATATGAGCAGCAAAAATCAACCATGCCAATCGGTTGTGGTTGAGAACCAGGTCAAAATGATCTCAGCACTTATCATTTTATTTTGATTACAGCTTAATGTCACACCGTATTTTCAGTACAAGTATGGAATTTTCAGCATGGATATCGGTAGCCCAAATTTTGCAGGCCGACCATAGATATCGGGTGTGCGTCTGCAGGGGATCGAACCCCGGACCATGTGCATGGTCGGCGAGAGGCCTAACCACTGTGCCATTCAACTAGAAATCAAAATGTAAGACGGATAGTTCTTCATTGTTTCCTGCAACTTTATGATCATGTCAGATGGTTGAACTATGAGCATTGGAGAGAAACGAACAAGAAGTTCAGCAGAAAAAAACCACTGCAGCGATTCCATTCCCGAAAGAAGCTAAGAAATCCCATTAATATTCATAAATCTACATAGGTACAAGTTCTATTTCATTCTACATGCTAACAAAGGAAGAGATTGAAGGTGATAATACTTTTCAACTTGCTACGGAAGTTCGAAGATCTTAGTGAATATAGTGAATATACCAGGAGCCTAGAAACAAAACCACAAGGGGTTAGAAAATCAGTTTTAAGGAATTCAGGTGCAAACAGGATGGACATACAAGCTAGTTGAAACAATGTCTTCTAAAAACGGCGAAGTTCAACAATAGAGTCCCAGGATTGTAAATGTTCCAATGTCCTTGTGAATGTTCCAATGACCCTGAACGCATGCTAGTCATTGGTTGAGGAAGCTCACCATTATTCTAGCGCGAATAATTGTGCGTACTGGTAAGTGACACTGAATTAGTTGTCTTCTAGGAACTTTGAAAAGTTGAAACTGTCTTTGATGAATATCTTGTTTCTGTCCAATTATTGAGTGCCAGGGCAAATAACGTTTGGGTTTTAGGAATTTATGACACCTAGATTCGCAAAGGATTTATGGAGCTGATTCTAGACAGGAGTGCTGATACACTCCTCCCTATTATTCAGCGTCTCGTCTTACCAGGCACCACCATTCACACAGATGAATGGCGGGATATAGCCAATTATCGCAATTGGGATATATATATCCCAATGTATATATACATCATAGAGTGAACCATTCGAATGATTTCGTCGACCCTGTCACCGGTACTATAATCATTCCATCGAAGGTTTCTGGGGAAGACTGAAAAATAGAATCCGAGATATCAACGGATCACAAAACGAAGTCATTTTCAGTCATTTGGATGAATACATGTATAGAAATTGGTTTGATTTCGAAACTGAAACTCCTATTAATAATTGGAACATTTTTTTAACTCATATTAGAGAAAAGTACCCTGTTTGATTTTTTTTCATGCTTATTTATGTAAAAATACGTAAAATTTTATGCAAAAATCATCCCTTTTTCTGATTGGTTGGTTCAAGGTCACTTGTGCGTTCGTTCCTTGGGACTCTATTGTAGAACTCTGCCCTAAAAACTTAGAAAAATGAAGGGAATGAAAAAAAACAGGAATTAAGGAGTAAAACCAAACCACACTCTTGTAAGGTGGATACCAGGCACGTTTCGTGGTGAAGAAGAGTAAATATTAGATGGTTGGAGGCAATTGGCAGGAAGCTTTGGACCTAGGTTTCGTGCTAGTTGGCACTCGTCATCAAGACGTATCTGCGACCTTGAAGGAACCCATGTCCCTTCTGAGATTCGAACCCGCGTCACCCAGTGCTGCAGTCAGTGACGTTACCACTGAGCTATTCGGGCTCGCGGTTGACCTACTGTAGGACTGTAGTGGATATTTTGATTTTACACTAGTAACTAGTGTGAAATCAAAATAAGAAGAGTTAATCAAAGAGAAGAATGCACTTCTGTGTAAAAAGGAAAACACAGTATTTGAATCTGGACTTCAGGAGCGTCTAAGCTTCAGACATCCTTAAGAGCAGAATCCTTAGTTCCTTTCAACAACTCTAAGACTGATTCTAAGCAGTGTGAAAGAAAAACTTCAGGTTATGACTACTACAATGTGCATGTAACAATTTACCTGCTCTTGTGGAGCTAGGTACATAGTTGGTTCTCTGCGGGTCCTTTCATGACTTGTTAGGGAACATTACCCAGTATGGCTGCGCAGAGGTGGTGTTGATTCAACCAGAAGCGCCATAATTGAACACCTCGTCAACACCTGTTATCACCATATGCATCAGAAAGCTGGAACTATGTGTTCAAAAGAAACTGGTCCAGCCTGTGCATTTACCATAGATCTAATTCCATTTGACCCCTTAGTCCTCGTTTTTTTTATTGCCTTCATCTTTTTTCAATTGTTAGAAGCCATTATCTCAATGTGTTTCTATACTCATCTCGTTTTAACCTGTATTCGTTGAAATCTACCTTCTTACCCTGTATAATTTTGTTTCTAAGCCCCTTGTTTATTCACTATATTCACTAAGATCTTCGAACTTCCATATCAAGTTGAAAATTATCATCACCTTCAATCTCCTCCTTCGTTATTATGTACAATGAAATAATAATTTTATCTATGTAGATTCGTATACATTTTAATGGGAATGTACAGCTTCATAGAGAATAAAATCGCTGCAGTGATATTTTTTGCTGAACTTCTTGTTCTTTTCACTCTAACACCCTGATGTGTAGTTTTTACCATAATTGTAACGACAGACGATAAGGGCCAGGCAATGGGTCGTTTATTGAGAAAATCAACAGATATTTATAGATTTTTATGTACATTATTGTTCGTTATTGTTACCAGAGAAGCAACGTCTTCTGATTGGTTGTTTTCTTGCTGAAGGTTATTCTGTCTTCTCTTTGTTGCCGTTTCTTAGAAAGTCAGGCCATATATCTGCGAATCGTATTTGCACACGTTAAGTTTGCTGTGATTAGTTGGTGAGTCCTCCAAGCTTAAGATTTGTTATTGTTTTTTCTCAGGACCCCACTTCTGGACATAAACATTGACATAAATTGTTGTCTACCAATTTTCGCTACCAGACAGCTCTCACCACATAATTATTGGTCGACACTCTTGAAAGTAATCAATTTCTGTTATTAAGCATTGTAAGAATCTCGCTAACATTCCGGTTAAAACTTCTGACTTGCTTGGCAAACTATGCGAATTCAAATCTTGAAATCAGAATGAATTACCATTCTGGCAACTGCAAGCTACCGTGAAATCTAATCTTAGAATATTCCACTGAAAGACTACTTTTATGATCCAGCAGAGAATAGAAAGAAGTGTTTAATTATTAGTGCATATATATCACTTGCTCATTGCTAACCGCTAGCTTAACGATGGAAGCTTTATACAAATTGTATTTGAATGCAGGTGAATAACTTAATTTGGAATAGAAATCCCCTTCAGATAGTATTACTTAACCTAACGAGATTACCAGAGAATAATCTCCTTGACTTAGAATATGCAGATGATATAGTTCTCCTGGGTGAAGACTATGAGCAGAAATCTTCGGATGTCTGGTATGCGATTCGCTCCTGTTAGATGTGAGATGATGCTACAGAATTGGGCTAAGTTGACTCCTAGCTTTAAGATAGGTAGGGGTGAAGTGGTAGGGAGTGTTGATCACTTCACTTATTTGGGAAGTTGCACCAGCCAACGCCAGTGGGTTGATGGTAGATGAAATCTCAGCAGAGATACCGAAGGGTCGTCTGGTATATGCCAACCCAAGCCATATCTTGCTTAGTAGACGTGACATCCAGCTGATTATCGATAAAAGACATGTGTACTGCTATGCAGTTTCCTCCGTCCTCCTTTATGGTTGTGATGAGACATGGTTATTGAGAGTGGAAGACACGAAGAAAAGCCTAGCTAGCTGTCTTTCACCACAGGTACCTGCGTTTTATCTCTAGTGTAAGGAGGCACATAAAGGTGAGCAATGCTGAATTTTGCTGTCAAGTGCTAGGTGAGGAGGGGAAATCAATCGATGAGATTGTGAAGTTACATCGATTCAGATGCTTATGACAAATATTACGCATACCTAGCCATCGCCTTCCTCGACGACGGGCAGTGTTAGTTAACATAAGATTGGTGAGGTTATAAAAGAACTAGTGGTGCTCAAACGAAAACATGAACTCAGTCAATGAAGTCCGTAACAGTTAATTCAAGCCATACACGTATGGAGGTGTAGAGTGGCACGCTGGTTGGGGTCCTCAGGATGGTAAGAACCACTGACGGTCTAATCTCCACCTAGCCGGTAGTGACTAGGGAGACGTGGGAAGGTGGTGCTTGAGACTAACAGCCTCTCCTCGTATAAGTAGAAGAGATTCTGAAGTTTCAGTCTTAAAGCCCAAAGCCTGATGCTACACTATGAACTCAAATAAGTGAAAAATAAATGAATATCACTGTGTTTAGTGATCACATTTATGTGAATGACTTAAAGCCTTTAGCTTTACTTCCTAGATGACGTCCAGAGTATGCATTGCCCATCCAAAACCAAAGTAGTGCTGAGTATGCATTAAAAGGTTCAGGAATATCCAGTAGGATTTTCTGGATATTGTATAATAACTGAATATTATCCTAGTTGGAGCCAAGTGTCTCAAAATAGGATGAAACAGTCAGTTCATTACGAAATTTGCATTAAAGGTATAATAATAATTATTATTATTACTATTTAAAATACTTACTACCCAACTTTCATTCAGTGTTCTACTGAAAACGCATATCCAACCACGATTTTGTATACGATTTGTCCATGCATGGATGAAAATGTCATCATTCATCCAACGTGTCAACACCAGCAATGCATCCCTGTTAATTGAAGTATAAATAAAGACACATACAGTCAAACATAGAAATAATAAAACTGTAAAGATATGATCAAGGAATGCGCTTAGTTTAGTTGACATTATTATTATATCAATATTAATTCTTAGGGTTCCAAGTGGAATATAAGGCTTCAATAATACATCCCCATTTAGGCCTGTTCTGTACAGTCCTCTTTAGGAAACCTCATCAATTCCCATGAGCTTCCATTTACTCCTCACACTTTCTCCTCCGTGTAGTCTTCTACGGATGCTGAACTGATCGTTTCCTGTTAGGCCTGGAGTGCAATGTTACTCGATGGTCTTCTCAGTGTGCGTATGTATGTCCGATCCATACTCATTTTCTTCGGGATATTTGTCGATCGAAAGTTTCTTTATTGATTTTTTTCGGATTTCTTAGTCACCACTTCTGTATGACCGTCTGATTTTCAGTGTGGAGCCAAAGAAGGCATCTGTTAATAAAAGTTCACAGTCTGTTAGGGATGCACCAAGTTTCTGATCTGTATAGAATAACTGACTGACTTCTGCTTGTCAATTCGTTCTTTATACCGACTGTAACTGACTGCTAAACTCATTTAAGAGCTTTGAAAATCGATCACGTTTTACCGATTCTGGCTTTGACATCATCAGCCCTGAAGTCATCTGTAGTTGAAACGATGGCTCCTAGATAAGTTAAGGAAGTGACCGCACTCAAATAGTCGATATTGTTATGTCAAATTGTTATATGATCAATAATTTTGTTATCGGCAGTAAACTGATGAAGATGTGATCAAAAGACACAATGTTTTCTGAGTTTTATCTGATTTAAAGCAGTTGAAATTCCGACAGAATCCAAAGCATGAATCATAATCTTTGGCTTATTAGTGGCTACTATGTAGATGTCCTATAGTGGGTCACCATGTCTGTGTGAAACAAATGATCATTGATATCAACGGTTGACTGTAGCGCCATTTATGAACTGAGAGAAGTTAGAATTCACAGGTTAGTTAAGTCCGTCCTTGTAGATGAATGATCAACTGGATAGTCGCATAACCCAAAGTTTCTCAGTTCGAACCCTATGGTGTATGCTTGTTTGTATGTCTGCAAACTGCTACTGACATTTTAATAATTAATGAACCGAATGTAGAAAGTTTTAAAATGCTTACCAAGGAACCAGGTGTGGTCGAGGAATTATTTGATAGTTTTGTCCTTCACTGTCGAATAAGTAAAGGGTAGCAACTGGATTGTTATATTGGGATGTTTCACCAGCCTAAGAAATAAGACAAAACAAAGAAAACATGTACATGAATTTCACATGAATTGAAAGATTTCTGCAGCCTTCATAGGAAAATGAAGTAATATTCCATAAGTATTTAAAAGTGTATGCACTAGATTAGTCTTCATTATAATCTATGACCGGAGAAAGTCCCAAGTAGTGAAGACGCTGTTTGTTACGTAGTCGGATATCATGCCAGAGCCAAAAATGATGCTTAAGTCCATGAGTGATGATGGAAATCTCAAGATAAGTAGACCAGTCAATGCATTTGACTGACTAGGACGGCTGTCGAACCTCTATCTCAACTTCATCGACTTTGAAAAGATCTTCGACAGCGTTGAATAAGAAGTTATTTAGAAACTGCTTCTCAGCAACGGCGTGCATTGCCTAAATCTTTATCAACCTCATTCAGCAGTTGGCTGTATGACAATGCAAAGTGTCAGGTGATCCACACAGGAAAAATCATTGAGGCGTTCGAATTGAATACAGGAATGAGACAAGCTGGCTGCCCATTACCACCGATGATATTTTTAATTGTGGTGGACTGGATTATGCACCTGACTGTGCACACGGAGTAAGAAGACAGGAATACGCTAGACCGATCAGAAGACTCTGGAACATCTGGATTTCACGGAGGATGATTTATGTTTAACGTTACACAAACTCGAAGATTCGCTATCGAAAACCAACAATTTGGCATAGAAAGCAGAGAGCGAGGAAAGGAATTCAAGCGAACACAGAGAAAACAGAGGTGATGAAGATAACCCAGCAATAACAACAACTGCCAGCATCAATTACCATCAACTGGCGAGATCTAACAGAGGTTACTTTCTTCACTTATCTAGGCAGCCAGCATCATTTCAACTACAGGCAGTCGAGACAGATGAAGATGTCAAAGCCAGCCAGGCAGCCAGGTAGAACCACAAAGTCAGGATACGCCATCATGGGACTGAAACCAGTTTCGAAATCTTCTGCACTCCATGACATTAAGAAAAAGAGTCGGATTTTCAACACCAATGTCAGTTGGGTCCTCCTATACGGGTTAGAAACTTATACTACTTGTCAAGAAACCGATTTCCAACAGGTTGCAGACTTTTATCTACAGCTGCTTTCTCTCAATCCATACTGAAGGTGGAATGGCCAGAAAGAATAAGTACCGAAAACTCTGGCTGGGAATGAACTAACTGAGAGCCGACTGCTCAACAAATACGTAGATGAAAGTGGAGATGGATCGGATATATGTTGAGGAGGCTTTCGAATGAAATAACGCTGAATGCAGGACATTGCTAGAGTGGAATCCCAACGGGAATTTACTAGTGGGTCGTCGGTGTGAGGGTGAAATGGAAGATATCATGTGAGTTGGAGGAGGAGATGAGAAATTATGGAAAGTCGTGAACCCAGCTGAAGAGGACAGCGGAAAATCGAACAAAGTGGTGATGTGTTGTTGAAGCTGCCTATGTTCCACTCGGAATTCAAGAGAATAATAATAATAAAGCAGCTAATACGTTCAACTGCTTTCATTCCATTTCCTTGAGGATTATCTTACATTTGATAGACATAACATAGCGCTAAACATTCCCAGATATCAACTAAAAGTAATGCAAAGACTGAAGTTTATCAGAGTCTTTGTCTATATTTGTCTGCGTACGCATAGTCGATGCGTTACTTATTCTTTGGAAGCCTGAAGTACAACAGAAGTAGAGCTATCAACATGTCTTTAATAAAATCAAAAAAGTCACTAACAGTGAATGTTTCCGATTCACACAACTTTTTACCATCACTCACCTAAGGTCTTGGACATCTGAGTAAATTTGAGTATGATATCTTGATTAGCACCCTGATACGGCAATAAAATACCTCCATCCACGGAGTATGATATCTCACTCTCTCATACGAATAAATATGGTAGGTATATCAGTGGAGCAGATGAAGCAATACAGTCAGTAACAATGAGGCTAAAGTTGGTGTTAGGCATATGAGGGAAATTTAACCGATGTGGGTGTCGTTCTCTGACGGCTACCACACACGTAAAAGTTGCTACACCGCCCAGCACAGTTGTTAGTCAGTGCTGAAACAGTATACTTGGCTCTCAAGAATGTTATGGTTAACTCCAACAATTAAACTAAATCCAAGTCTTCATTACTTATATTTAGCATTTGTTGACGACGAAATGAGTCAAAGTCATCCGTCTATTGGATTATTGTTTATCTTCTGTTCACTGTTTCAAAACACAAGGTCTTCGGTATGTCATCGTTCCACTGAAAATTTTTCAGCCTACATAAGACATTAAGAATGAATTTTCTAGATTCCCCTCAGTGGTAGGGTGTCTATGGAGACTAAAACCAGGACGTGATAGTTTCAAACAGCAAGCAAAGCGTGCTGTTAAGCAGTCTTGAAATAGGACGTAACAATTATCTTTTATTCTGTCGTTTTCAATGCTGCGTCAACTGATGCCTGTTTTTGATGCAAATTGGAACAAACCAAGCTGTCAAATACTAGGCAACTAGCCCACTAACAATTATACATCTCATCCAACAGCTATACGACAATGCTGCATGCCAAGTAATCCACAACGGGAAACTTACGGAATCCTTCGAAGTGAGGACAGGAGTAAGACAAGCTGGCTGCCTACTATCGCCGATGATTTTCCTGATTGGAGTAGACTGGATAATACGAAAAATAGCGGGCAGTGAGGAAACAGGCATAAAATGGACTCACACAAAAAAACTTGGAGGATCTAGACTTCATCGATGATATATGTCTGATTTCCCACAAACTGGAAGATATGCAAGTGAAAAGCAACAAGTTGGCAGAAGAAGCATCAAAGATAGGACTTCCTTCAGGTGAACATAGAGAAAACAGAGGTGATGAAGATTCCTGGGCAACACCACCAACAGCAAATACAACAACAGACAACAATCAGCATATATGGGAGGAACCTGAAAGAAACAACCCCTTTTACCTACCTGGGAAGCATCGTTTCAACTACAGGCAAACGGAACTGACGAGGATATCAAAGCAAGAATAGGGAAGGCAAGACAAACTTTCACTACTCTCAAGTCTGTGTGGACGTCAACAGCATTCAGCATCGAAAATAAGATCTGGATATCCAACTCCAATGTGAAGTCAGTGCTACTCACTATGCGGATCAGAGACTTGCACTGCGCGTCATAAAGAGCATCTCAAACAAACTACAGACCTTCATTAACAGTTGTCTTCACTCAATACTCAAGATCAAATGGCCAGAAAAGATCAGCAACAGAGATCTCTGGGTGCGAACCAATCAGGAACCGATTTTGCAACAAATAAGCAGGAAGAAATGGAGATGGATTTGCCATACTCTGAGAAAACCATCAAGTGACATCACTAGACAAGCCATTGCTCGAGTGGAACCCGGCCGAAAGGGATACGGCGAGTTGGTCGTTAGTGCAAGGGTGACTTGGAGGAGGTCATGTGAAGAGGAGATGAAAACGTGTGGACAGACGTGGAGCCGGGTAAAGACTCTAGCAGAGAACCGAAAGCAATGGAGACGCACGGTTGAAGCCCTATGTTCCTCTAGGAATTAAAGGAAACATTAATAAATAAATAATAAATAGGCCACAAGAGCCACATGTTATTATTCAAAGGGTAACAAAATAAAATTAATGAAGTGGAGATTCAGAAATCAGGGAGTGCTGGATGGATGTTTTGTCCAGGTTTTGTGGTTCTCCAACAAAATGCGCCCATTCGGGTTCCAAACCAGGACCTTCTGGCATCGAGACAAGCTCGTTCATCCACTGGAACCCGATACAATCTCCCATGAATTCAAACTTCAGAAAACTCGCGGTATTTAGCGGAATTGTCAGCTCAATATCAAAGATAGGTGATTGTCCCCCTAGCTACTTAGTAGATTCCGCTGGAGAGAAACAACTAGCCACTACTGCCTAATTGGTTTTCCAATGGTTTTCTAATTGATGTCAGCTTGTGTTCAGTCCTGCTGCCATTGAGAAATCTCATCAAAATAAATTCTAAGTTAACTCACCATAGGATATTTAATTTTAACATTTTTATCCTTCAATTCATTTTCATCATCGAATTTAAGTATTTCATGTGTAGAAACATTTCTTTGATCAAATCCAGTTATAACTAAATATTTTCCAGTTTTACTCCACCATAAGGCTTTATTAGTATCAAAAAGTTCTTCTACAAAAGACAACAAATAAAAAGAATAAAAGTCAATGTATAGTTATGGAAAGTCCCGTTACGTTATGAAAAGGAAAGGATATTCAGCGATTTCATTGTCAGGCTGTACAATCGCACATATATCATACATTGTCCTAGTTAAAAAATGAATATTTCAAAATCTGTTTCATTCAAACTCTCAGTTTAAAATGAAAAACATACAGAGAAGGTCAAGTCAGCATCAGTTTCAGAAACAGTAGAAGTGTGATATTATGAAAAGAGCATGATAGAATCCCCAGAAGGGATACGAAAGGATTGTGCATGTCAGTCAATAACTGACGCCAACTGTAGTGGAGAAGTGATATCCATCTATTGATCAAAGTAAATGTGCACTGAGCAGAAGTCAACGTTTTCCTTCTTTAAAGCTGTGCGACATAACCAATGAAAGTGGGAGATATGAAATGACTAGCTGTCTTTGACTATATATGTTTGTGATCAGCCTCCCGTGTTAACTGGTATAATATGGTGAGCAATATTGTGGTTAGGTGTGGAGTACTAGGTAAAAGAGAGAAGTCAGTCGGTGAAGTTGTGGAGTTACCTTGATCAAGATGGCTGGTACATGTGTGGCGAATGACAAATCACTGGCTTTTTCGTCTAGCAATGTTTGCTGACATGGGATTAGGCTTGAAAAAAGTTAAGGATGGTCAAATCTACACCTGGCATCAATTCACGAAGCAAATGACTCCTGGTTTCAAGGAGATAAGGACGTGTAAACTGCCTAGTTGGAGTCCTCGCGATACCAAGAACTCATAAATGGAGACTGTTGGTGATATGGCTCAAAACGGTTCTATGAAAGGTTCTGTTTTGTAGGTTAGTCAGTCAGTTATGAAAAAGGAGGACATTACGGGTTGCAAAAACATAGGTCCGTTTTAATTTCAACTACAGAACAAAAACCGTGTGTGCAGTATCCTGGCTTCAGCAAATGGATTACGATGGTTTCTGAGGCTTACGGCAAAAGTACTTGCGTACTCTAGTGGTAGCTTTGAGACTATTTTGTCTTTTAACTTGGCAGCCATAATCTATGAGGTATTTCAAAATGAAGGTGCATACAGAACTGATTTCATCTTTGTAAAACCATAAAGGTAAATTTTTAGTTGTGCGTTTGTATATCGTATGCTGAGTACAGCTGACACATGCTAAACTAACTTGTTGCTGTAATAACAGTGATTCTTTTATCATTGTTATTATTATAGGCCACTTAAGGAAGCAAATAGAATTGGCCGTATTCTATTTCACTCTTCTACGGCAAGTCAAGATGGAAAAGCAAGCAATACCTTCATTAGTTTAGAATAAGTGTGAGGATCTACTGTGCTCCGTAAAGAGCACAATAATGTTTTCAACATTCAGTTAAATTTGGTGCTTATATATGTTTTGGAGACCAGACTTGTGTTATCAAAAGGATTTTCAACAGGCTACTGGAGATTTTTACTAACAGCTATCTTCGCTCCATAATAAAGATAAGAGACAATAAGCAGAAAAGGACTCTAACAGACATCGGACACTCCAAGAACCTCATTCTTAAAAAATACACCGAAGGAAATGGGTATGGATAGGAGACACGTTGGGGAGACAGTTGGGGGGGCATCATGCTCTATGCGACCACTGGAGTCCAACCTGAATGGAAAACAACGATTCGGAGGGAGCCTCTGACTAACATGGAGGAGATCTTGTGATGAGGAAATGAGAACCGGTTAAAAAGAACTGCAGAAAAGAGAATGAAATGACAATGTGACGTTGAGGTCCTATTTTTCACTTGGGACCAAAGGGAATATTAATAATAAAGGTGAGTGATGGATGGGAAAATCATATTGTTTGTTCAAGCTCCGCTTCGTCCTATTTTCTGCCTTCCTCTTTAGCTGTCCCCACAGTTGGCCATAGTCCATCATCTCCACCTTACACTACCTTTTCTCTATCACTTTCGGACGTCCAACTCAACGGTCCACCAGGTTTCTGACTAATAAGGAAGAACATCTTTGCCATTTGTGTTGAAAATCTGAATCTTGTTCTTCATGCTGAGTGCAGAAAATTTCCAAACTTGTTTCAGAGTGATGAAGGTCTTCCTCGCCTTTTCGACTGTGGTTTTTACATCCTCATCCACGGAGTGTGCTGTAGTTGGAATGATGTTGTTTAGATAAGCGAAGGAAGCAACACATTTCGAATGTATTCTGTCACTAGTGAATGGTGCTAGTTGTTGTATTTGTTGAGTGGTTATCTTCATCCTCTGCATCTTCTCTACATTCACCCGAAGTCCTGTATGCGCTGCCTCTTTCGTGAGTTTGTTAGTTTTCTCCTGTAGGTCTTCGAGTTTGTGTGACAGCGTCTTCTTTTCAGTTCAGAATATTTCTTCTGGCCAACAATAGTCTGCAATAACGTTTTATGAAGTATGTTGGAGTGTATTTACAATTGACATTCACAGCTGTGATTGTACTTTAAGTAATCATATCATGTGGCGTATCTTGTTGTTATCACTATATATAACCGGCATAATCAGCTGATCTTGTTCGTGTTCTGAGATAACATAGAAATGTATAATAAAGATTATGAAAACTGATATTCTTTTCCAATATGTTTCCTCATGTAAGTGTATTTACACGACAGCCTTCAGAAGTGACGAATAAGAAAGGGAGGGGATTTCTTCTGATAGGGATTTTCATTACTGAAAGGTGTTCCTTACAAATAAAGTTTTAATTTCGCTACAGGGCATTTGCTGTTGATTATAGTACCTTTAAAATTTGAATTCACAATTGTCCACAAACTAGTTGAATTAAAGTGTTCTACATTTTCATAAAACAAGCCTTCAATATGGCCACAATTTAGACGTAATTAAAGTTCCTTAAGGATATGAAGTCTCCATATTGGGAAAAATTTGATTTCTGCAATTATTTCCGTATAAAGACCTTGATAATGCCTACAGACTGCCATAGGCTAACTGGAAATGTACCATTTTTGGGGCTGGCGTTTTCTATCACTTTGCCCAGAGGGAAAAGACAGGAAAGCTGGAGTGTAGGTTGGTTAGGGAGAATAGCTTACTGGTGTTACATTTCTGCTCAGTAACAGTGTGAATTCTGTCTTATCCATTCTCACACATTAATATCCGGTACTCAAATGAACTTTCTGACATGGTTCAACCTAAACGACCTAAAACGTTTTTCTCAAACTATGTAAATTACAAATGGTGAATTAAATTCAGAATGGGTTTCTTAGTTCAATAATTTTCCAAAGGTGTACAGTTATTTCTTCATTTTAGATAGGGCAATTGAAGGCTAATTGAGCAACTGTGCGTCAGTGGCACAGGGGTTAGAACGTTCGCCGACCGTACACATGGTCCGGGGTTCGATTCTCGGCCGACACACATCTGATACCAGTGGTCTGCCTGATAAATTTGGGCTACCGATATCACACGCTGAAAATTCCATCTTTGTACCAAAAATACCTTGTGGAATCAAGCTATAATCAAAAATCAAAAAAAAATTCAGAAACCTTTCTTGTAGTCAAAAGTATTGTACACAGTAGAAGAGATGAAATAGGAATCAAAACAGGTTTCAGTAAATCATTTAGAAGCATAAGTCAGCAAGGTTAAGATATCTTGGAGTGCCAAAGTAGTTAATTTTCTGTATCCTTCTAAGGTTTCTTGTTAAAGAAAGGCTGAAACTTGGTGTGAAACATACTTGGAGAAGTAAGCGTGTATACTTCTCATGTAATCCATTCTAAAGAAGCTTATTTATTGAAAGACACAAGTTGAAGTGATCTGATGTAATATTTATAACACTGACGGAAAATGTGATTCCACAAATGTACGCGACGGTTTACAAGAAACTCTTAAAAAGCCAGTTTTTGAGAGTTGTAATAGCAGCGTCACTACTAACCTACAGTTAGTTATATAGAGTTTTCTTGGAAACGGCTGGTATATACAGACTTTATGTTCATTTTTCACCTTTCATGTATGGCGAGAAAACTGTCTTTTAAGAAGATTTTATTAATTTGGTAGGCAATATTATTTTGACAAATGCCATTTATTTGATATGACCGTTCCATTTAGCCCCGAATCAAGTACACAACAGTAATGCTCGTATTTTACTCTTATATATTTCTCTTACATATAAATGGATAAAATTACGTGAGGCGTTTAATATTATTATTCCTGTGGATCCCAAGTGAAACATAGGACTTTAAGACGCTGTCTTCCCTTCAGTCTCCTCTCTGCAGTCTTTTTCATCTGGGTTTATGACTGCCCATAAGTCTCTCCTCCATGTGGACCTCAGACGATCAACTTGTCCTCCTCGTTCAGGTTCTATTCGACAGCCTTGCACGTATGTTTAGTTCACCTCCATTTCCCTCTGCATATTTGTTGGTCAATAGGTTGTCAGTTGTCAAAGGTAATTTAAGTGTTAGCTAGACCTTAGAATCGTTTTATTTCGAGAAGCAGTTTTTGCATGCATGATCTCAAGCGTTAAATGTTAAATCCTTTGTTAAATCAACAAGTTACTTCAACTCTTCTTGCATAAATTTAGATTTTCATACAAAAATTGCCTTCCATAAATTCAAGAAGAGAAGGAGAAATGACTAGTGCAGAATAACATGGAACCATTTTATTTGGTTGGTTCTCATCAGCTGCATTCAACCTATAGTCTTCAATAAATAAAAATCAGAGCAAAATTCGACATAATTTTATCTATCAACAAGCGTATTATAAGAAAGACATGGTAAGACAAACCACTGCATTAGTCTCTCTGCTCTGAACATCTTCCTCATTGGTTCAATCAAAGATCGTCAATCACCCCTCATATGTTACCTCTAACTGCGTATACCAGTTCACATGCATCTGCGACAGCAGAAAAATTGGAAGAAAAGAAAGAAGGGCTTACTTCATACTCTTATAACATACAACAATGAGCTTTATGTTAAGGGGGCCAAGCAGTTAAGTCTCTTCAATCACGAAACACCTGGTAGACATTGGACGCCTAGTAGATGCACTGGCATAATTCAAAATAATTAACAGACGCAATGGCTCAAGTCATCTTTAGTTTGCTGAAGCTATCGTGATAAAGTGACTGAAACCTGACCTGTGTGTCCGATATAAATCCATCGTTGAGCTGTAGTTACCATGGTGACTCATCCCTTAATAACTCTTTGTCTTCTCACTTCATCAACTTATTCTTTCAACCCCCCGCCGTCGCCTCGATTCTTCTGTTTGACTTCTGTAAGAGATAATTTTTATTGATTTTATGAGTTCTACTCACCGTATTATATCACCACCTTTTCATCTGACCTCTTGCACATGGAATTTCGATCTTCTCCTATCTAACTAAGTAATTATAACCACCCTAACAGCAAATATGCCGACTAGTTTTCGAGAAACTTCTTTCTAACAAGTTATATATATTTATACCGTATTATTTCAGCTACCTTATTATTCCGATGTTTTATCTCACTATGCAGCTCTTGCGATATGCCTTTTGATAGATAAAAATATGTCAGATTTTACATCGACTTGTATTTTCAAAAGATTATAGGCTGTATACAGCTGATGAGAGCAAATGAAGTAAAATAGATCCGTGTCATTCTGTACCAAGGTTTCCTCCTTCTCTGCACAAGTTTAGTACTTATATTTGTAGACATGTCAGGTTATTTCAAAGACACTTTCGTTAAAAATGGAAATAAGGCTCTTAAGCATGAATGAAATCCATTGATCATTCTACAACCATTTTGTCCTGATCTAGTAGTCTCCACCACCGCTCACCTATGACTCTCATATAACATGTCTAACCTTGGCTTCAAAATTTTAAGGTTTGCATTTTAACCTGCTATATTATCGTAAGCAAGCATAGCTGGAATGGTAAAGATTAAAGAAATGACAATTCCCAAGTGCTTTATGGTCTTTAGTTTTGCATTGAACGGTGTCTGTTCATAGCTGAACCTACCATTAACATAAATATTTAGAGGCATATTAATCTCTCCACCTCATCAAACTAAGTGTCTTATATGTCCTCGCGTATTACTTTTCAAAGGATTCACTATAACTTACCCCATAGTGTAAACAGTGGTTGAATAAGTTTCATTCATTAGGAAAATAGTAAGTTTTGTCAGAATTCATAAAGAGAACTAATGGTCTGTTGAGTCAAAGTTCACAGAAATTACTTTATCACCTATGCACTCACTCACTCATTCACTCAATCACTCACCTTCATACAGCCACGTCGTTACTCCGTATAGACAATTATCTTGTGGTAAGGAATGTGTTACATTTATAATTCTCTTTTTGTCTAAATCGAATGGATTCACAAGAAGATAAACATTTTTTCGATAGACAAAAGCCTAAAATACAGAAGAAAGAGTAAAGTGTGAACAAGACAGCAGATAAAAGATTATATTTGTTTAAATTATCTCTTGGTATATGTGTATGATTGTTGTTTATAATGGCTAGTGTACTTGAGATACAAATAAGCTAGTTTCTTTTGAGTTCAGAAGGAACGCCTTAGAACCACTTAATCTTAGAGATGCAGCATTCTGTCAACGAATTTCATATAGTTTGGCGATAAAAAATGTCACAAGCCGCCAAAGAGGATGTACGAAAGTGATCGGTAAAATAAGAGTCCAGTTAAACCAAGGTAACAGGATTTCATCATGATCAGAGACGTCGGTTAGAGAACCGTTGGAAAACCAGCTGTGATTACTGGACAACTGTTTGTATCAGTTTGGAACTCTACAGCAGGACGCACACACCGGGGTTAGAACTCAGGCCCTTTAAACTACAAGGCGGGCTCCTAGTCCATTCATTAGCCGCTGCGACCTGATCCGTAAATAAAAGATATAACCGTTTAACTAACCACTTTGTTACCGACGGAAACAAGACAGATAACTACAAATACAGTGATTGCAGAGACAAAATATAGTGCATATCAGCAAAAGGAGAACAAGAACCTTCAATTCAATGGAGATTTATCTGCGGAAACACTAAAAAATCGACTGTGGCGCTCACTTAAGAAGACCTTCTTCGCAGCTGAACTACGACTAACCTTCTCCACAAAACCTATGATTCATGTGAACGTGAAGGATGAGCTACCGCTACTGGCCTCATCAATGTGCATTTATCAATTCACCTGCTCGTGTGGGGCCAGGTATGTCGGCCGTACCCAGTGCCGGCTTTCCAAACGCATCACCGAGCACTTACCAACATGGTTTTACAAAGGAGAAAATCGGTGCCCCCGCAGTTCCATCTTAGAACATCTGATAGAATCCGGACATCAAGCTACACCGCAAACAAACTTCAAAGTCGTCTGCAGAGTAAGAAGTAGTCTCCCTAAAGGTGTACGAATCAGACTTCTACAAACTGCAGAAGCAATGGCGATTCACTTGCTAAGTCCTGAACTCTGCATACAGAAGAAGTTCGTTCAATCACTACACTTGCAATGGACGTAATCTATCTTATAAGCCGACATGTAAATTCTACCTAATCTTTTCTTCTGTCTTTTCATTAGTATTATTTTGTCTTCTCAATTGTAACATTTTACATCTCCAACTTTCTTGTTCTCTACCCCCACCAGATTCAATTTCTACACCTCACTACCACTGTTACTGACTTGAACAGCGCTCAGTTTCTAGTCATTCATGTTACGCCATCCAACTTATTCACTCAATTTCATTTCTACTTAATCTCTACCTGTAATTACCTCTGTTGCTATCCTGACCTAAGTTGTAACATTTTAGCCAACTATATTACGTCATATAGCTTTTTAACTCAATCTTACTTTAGTTGCTGTCTGATTAACTTTGTCTCCATACTACATCATTCTTATATTAACTAATCAATTATCTAAACTTGAAAAACCTCATGTACACACACACACACGAATATTTATATATAAATGCGATTGTACAGCTATGTGAATGAATTCGCCGAAAAGAGTCTCTTCGCTGAATGTCTTCTCTTTTTCATATGACTCAATGGGGATTTTCAATCTACTCAAAAGGAGAGTCGTTGGCAATGCGAACCTATGGCTTTTATAAGAGGTTGAATCATTATTCGCATACTCTGTGATTTCTTTGTATTCGGGATGTTTTGTTTGTCAATGTATAGTGGTGATTAGATTTTTCTCACAGTTGTAACCTGCTGGCATAAACACCATTGTCACATAAACTATCACTGCTTTCCTGAAAACGCTTTTCTTTCTACTACTTATGTCAGCATTACTAACTCAGTTCATAACTAAAATAGTCAGGGCATAAAATCTAACAACTGGTGTTCGAACTGTGCGCATACTTTACATTCCTTAAACTAATGCCTGCTATATGACTGAGATAAGAGGCTGTACACCACTCATACCAACCAGTAGTGCTTGCTAGCCAGATAAAGGTGACCTAAACGCCATACGGCCATTTCACTCATTTGAGGTCGAACTTATAAGCGATGTACTCAGTTCCTACACAACGCAAGATAACTAATTAATCTGCAAAGTGCGGATTTAATTTATAGTATCATCATTTTGCCTAAGTTGCCACTCAGAAATAGGGTGATTTTAAATGATCCGGCTTTCTAAGCTGAGTTTAACCTGCTAGAGACACCGATGATAAGGACTACCTCAAAAGTGCGAAATCACCCCTTTCTGGCTATCAAGCACTACTGATTGATATCAGTGGTGTACAACTACTGATCCAAATCAATTCACAGTCTACAGTCTTATTGAAATGTGTCTGCTCTCTTGATTACCATTTATGGTATCATGGAGATCTTGTCCAGTAATCTGAACAATGGCTAATAAAGGTGAGAAACTCTGAATTGAATTTCTGTTATTTCAATAATACTGACCACTACCTTTAATGATATATAAATAACAACATATTAGATGGTTGGTTTTAATTGGCAGGAGGAAGCCGTTGACCTAGGTTTCCTGCTACTTTGCAGTCACCAATCAGCAAGGCGTATCTGTTTTCTTGAAGGGGCTTATGTCCCTTCTGAGATTTGAACTTGCGTCACCCAGTGCTGCAGTTACAGATGTTGCCACTGAGCCATTCAGGCTCGTGACTGACTTCCCCTGTGACTGTACTGGATACTTTCAATGGATATGAACTCCTTCAAGATTGCAGATACACACTGCTAACTGGTGATTGCCAGCCAGCAAGAAACCTTGGGTATAAGGTCTTTTGACGATCATCGACAAATCACAGAGCACTCCAACGATGAAGCACCTAGTGGTACGTTGACCACATTGCAAACCTGGCTGATAGAATTTAGTCTGCACCAAACAATGAACTAAACGCATTGAACTAACCAAAGTAAACAAACGACATATTAAATATTTGCACCAGCCAACTGAAAGTCTGATTTAATAAACATTTGCCGGGATCTAGTTTGTCCAATGTAACATTCATCAGTAGATGGAATTCTGTCCAATAGGTACTAGATCCCGTTATTAAACAAAGTCACACAAATTTCACGTTTTCTTCTACCTTTTGTTATTAGTATTAATCTCAAAACAAGCTTCCCTTATGAATCTGTAAACTATGCACAGAAAAAGCAATATAGAGAAAAAGCAAATAACAGCTGTTCGGCTTACCAAACGATCACTTTTTGGTGACCATTGAATAAAATCTAAATATGGTTGCTCCATGACGTCATTTGTGACACCAATTTCAAGTCGTTCTTCAACTGTAGTTCCGTTTCCCAAGCTAAAATTTTTAAAAACAAACGATATTATCATGTAAGTGTAGAGGAAAGGAATACTTTCAATAATTGATGAATTTTAATTAGAGAAGATTATGTATGTTGAATGAATTGTGCTCTCTCTGATGAGCTGATTGATTTAATTGCGAAGATTTCGTCTTCCCCCACCTAGACAACATCGCTTCAGGACAGGTTTGAGTATAAAATGAACTCATTCAAGTTCTCCATTATTGATATAATTGTATCTCCTGGTGACGCCTGTCATGACTGGTTGTTAATTTACGTCTCTATTGGCCCTCTATTCAAAACTTCTACATAATCCCAATCAAATTTATGTCCATAATTATCCACATGCATTGATATGGAAGAATTTATATCATGTATTTTAAAGCCCATTTTTGTTCTTTGATTCGGATTCGAAGAGGACGCCCAATTTGATCGACGTAATGCTTATTGCAGTTCACACAATTTGTTTTGTAAATGGCATTGATGTCTCTATCTTCTTTTCCTGTTAGACACTTTGGTTTGCACAATATCGAATGATGTGATTGTTCTGGCTGACTGGTTTGTGTACTAATATCTATTTCAAATGGTCTTAATATTTAATTCAGAGATATTTTTTATACATGGTGGGATGAATTTTCTTATTGCCTTTGACTGTGGCTTGTTGATGTGGTAATAACTCTAGTTTAAACACTTTTTGATGAAATTGTGAAGATATCCATTCTTTTTGTAAACGGTTATTATGTATTTATACTCCATTCTCTTCAACATGGCAGCAGAAATGCAGTGCATTTGTCTGTACACAGTTTCTTTTGTGAGTAATTGGGTTAGGTTATTACTATTTTAGTTGAGTATTTCGTCAGTGTGCGTTGATTTTCTATATCTTTATGTTTTTAAATTTCCTGTGTTAGTTCTCTTGGTTACGACATCTAAGAATGGAGTTTCGTTGTCTAATTTTCTTTTCTCTTGTGAGTTTTATGGCTTGAAATACGTTATGTATATTTATGGACACCAATTTGATTGGGAAAATGTAGAAATTTCGAATAGAGGAAAACGTGCAGTCAGGGAATTCCTAGAGCCCTGATAGTGAAGTAGATTGGCAATTAATAAACACATTATCTCGAAAGATCACATTTACCAGCTAATAAAAACCAAATCATCAGAGGACAAGGAAGTTTGAATTCCAAGTCAACAAAAATGATAAATAGAGATGCAAATAAGCAACCAAACACGACAACACGACAAACCAAATTACATACCTCTATGTGTATCTACCAGTATGACTGCAGCTGTGGAGCCGGCTACATCGGGCGCATAATTACACAGCTTCATCATCGTATTTCTGAACATCATTACTAACCTCTCCATCTCTCCACCTAAATACACTAATTTTTAATGCATTCACACTATTCTACCTTAATGTGTGATTACATGCAAGTTAATGCAATGCAACGGCAGAACCATTTTTTTTCTAGGTTCTTTGACTTAGCAAGGCCAATCATCCTAGACCAATCTAAATTCATACATTCCGATGATCTAAATGGCCCGAATCTACAAAATCTATATATGTATTTGACCTCACAGTCAACATTAAATAGGATTTGTTAAATAATATTATTTTTCTTAAATGAATCAGTTGGGTCCTAATTCGACAAAATTTATCCCTGAGTGGCTATTTAGGTTCCAGCGCCATTAAAAATCTTACGTATCATCTTCTTCTTTGTACGGCAGTGACTCTGATTTCAGTTATCTACACTGTCGATAAAAGCAAACTCGTAAGAACAAACTTAATCCTAACAAACTAACTCTTGAAAATTAATCTGATGTTCTCTAGTGAATTGCTACAGGACTCAGTTTCCTGGAGTTCTAGTGCGAAGTCGTGACCAGTGAGGTCCAACCAGTCAAGTGTGAACCGATGACATTGGTTGGTGGTAGAAGTTAGAATTCATGCACAGGCCATAGAATTGAGTCCCGGTGGATGAATGGTATACGAGCTCGCTGGTCTTGTAACCGGAAGATCCTGGGTTCAAACCCCAGTGGGTGCTTACTATTAAACTAGGGCGAAACAGCTGACTGTCCAGTACTTCCTGGTTTTCAATGGCTCTCTAACTGATATGAACCTGTGATCAAATCGTCAAAACAAATTTTATCCTTACAGACCAACTCTTGAAAAATAATTTCAGCAATCACTGAAGACTTCAAAGCAGCAGTGGTTAGGTGACATCAAATGGATTGTTCAGCAGTGTTTTTATAACTTACCCATTTAAATGAAGAATGTCATATTTTGATTTTCCGCTACGTCGTGTACGCTGTGTGGTATAAAAACAAAAGAACAACAAACCAGAATTATGTAACTGGAAAACAGAGGACTAATTAAGATGCATTTGTATCAGAGAATGCTGGAAATTCGCTGATCAGATACCTGATCACATTAAACACACATAACTGTTTTGCTAAGTGTATTTCATAGAGGTTCTATTTCCGCTGACAAAATGCACAACGAACACAGTTTTCAGAGAAGAAACTCTTTTCAACAACGAATTTATTAATAAACCAAGGCATGCGGTAATTGTTTTGAACGTCATTAATAACGATGATTATAATGATAACAAAATAATAATAATAATAAGGTTTGTGCTGGTGGCGATAAGAATAACGAAGGCAGTAACATGTGTATATGTGGATAATTCAACAACAAAATATCCAAGGGCATCTTTCAGTTCACCTGCTCTTGTGGAGCAAGGTAGATTGACCGTAGCCACAGAAAGCTGTCCACACGGATAGGAGAACACATTCCAGCATGGTTTTACAAACGAGGAAGGAAGTCTGTGCGAAGCTCTATTCTGCAACACTCGATCGACTTCTGTCAGTCTACTGACCCTGACCATGATTTCAAGATCATCTACTGAATCCATGCCGGACACACCGAACATGCCACCTTTTCTTAGTTACAGACTTCTAAAGACGGTGGAGGCCTCAGCCATTCATGACTTTCAGCGAAGACCTTCGTATACAAAAGAAGTATGTACAATCCCTACTTCTGCCTTGGCCGTAGAGAGATGAACATTTATTTATTTTTGCGAAATGGTTGCGCTATATCGTGAATTGGCAGAAGTTAGAATTCATGGCCCATTGGATAAACTCCCAGTGGTTCAATGGTTTGTGAGCCCGCCTTGTAACCAGAAGTTCCTGGGTTTGAACCTTGATGGGTGCGTACTGATGAAGAGTCCCGAACTAGGCTGACGAAACAGCTGTCCAGTACTTCCAGGCTTTCCACTGGTTCTCTAACGGAAGTCAGCTCATGATGAAATCCTCCATCCAATTTATTTATTTTGTTTATTTAGTTAATCTATGTACCTTTCTCTCATAACTATATATATTATTACTATTATTATCATTATTGTTATTGTTAGTATTATTACTATTCTCACTCTGAATTGTTTCCGCTTGTCCCACATGTCATTCTAAATCCAAAATCTATTTTTTACAATATTGAATTCTTGAAAAAAGAATGTGCTACAGCATAATTTCATCATGGGTAAATTTTATTTTGAAACGTCATCAGTAAATATTACTATATGACACTGTGAGACTTTATCAAAATAAATGTTATCCATAATGGAATATTCAACTCCATCTTTTCAAATTTCACACAATCTTATGTAATGTGTTATATATTTGCTACATGACATTTAACTATGATTATAATCACAAATAAATTAGGTCAAATAATAAAAATTACGTAATACTAAAGGTGAGTTTAAATAAATACCATAAAAGTACTAAGGAAATGGAAAATGATAAAGGTTGGAAGGGATTTGATCAGAAGTTACCTAGGCCAAGGGAGAGACAGAGGTGAAACAAACTTCTTTTATATCCAAAGACTAGGATTGTTCTCTCGAATTATTTCGCATGGCTTTGGCCATGTGTAAAATGTGGGTTGAAATTCCGTTCGAAAGGCTCGATGGAATGCAACAGATAACTTTGAAGGCACTAGTTCTGTCCACTTGGTGGCTTAAAGAGAACTTCTTATAGATTTTATCTGGCCTTTTCCAAACCATGAAGGAAGATGCTCATCAAACTTATACTGCCGCCACCTTTTCTTCGTCATTATGATTGCTCAAGCGAAAGACAAGTTACCTATCTGTGCCACTTCTATGTGTATGTACAAACGAATTTATTATCAAGGTGTGCAATCGTATATATATAGGGTTTTTAAGAAATTATATCCGATGAGGGAATTAGATCAAACGTGTGAGTAAATGAAATAATAATAGTATGAGATGCGATTAAAATGTTTATAATTATAATCATAGTTAAATATCAAGTGTCAAGTCGCAAAAGAATTCATGTCATATATAGAATAATTCATAAGGTGTATAGATGTTGGAGATGGGTGCAAAACTATAGGATTAGTAGGCAATTATGAAACATGATAAAACATGGTATGAAATTTGATAAGATAGAATTCAATTCTGTAAAATATTTCTGGATTTAGAATGACAAATGGTATAAGCGGAAGCCATTCAAATTGAGAATATTAATAATAATAGTAATAATAATGACAATCGTAGTAATAAGAGAAAGGAACATAGAATAATTGAATAAACCGAATACATAAATAAATAAATGTCTATCCCTCTACGCCAAGGCAGAATAAGGGATTGCACATACTACTTTTGTACAAAATGGCCTAACTAAACGTCATGAATGACCAAAGCCTACGCTGTTTTTAGAATCACATAACGAAGAATACGCGTCAAGTTTACAAGGATTCGATAGATAATCTTAAAATCATGGTCAGATCTGGTAGAGTGACAGAAATCGAACAGGTGGTCTAGAATAGAGCTTCGTACACTCTTCCTTCTCCCTTGTAAAACTATGCTGGAATGTGTTCTTCTATCCGTGTGGCGGCTTTCTGTGGCTATGGTCAGTATATCTTGCTCAACAAGAGCAAGTGTGCTGGTAGATGCACATAAAGGTAGCCAGACGAGACAGCTTATCTTTTACAAAGTTGGAGATTGTCATTTGTAATTTTGCAGCAAAGAACATTTTACTGACTGATTCACAGACGCGGTTTGATGCAGTTTGATCACGTCTGAATTCCAAATTCATGAATATGGTTCTCTTTGGAACTGAGTCGGTGACCAGTTTAGAGTGCTTATGTTTCTGTCAATAATTTGTAGGCTTTGACAATTCATGACTTTAAGTCAGTAGATTATGTCTAAGAGTAGAATTACATCGAGTTACTGTGAAACTAAATAATATACGAAATGAAATTGAAAAACTCAAACACAAACTCAAACATATGATCAATGACAAAGATTATACAATTATTCTTGAAACATCCAAAAAAGCTAGAGAATCTGCATTAAGAAAATCAAAAAACACACAAATCAAAAAATTCAACAAACTTATTGAAGAAAAGAACAGAGCAAATGAAATTGATGTCAATGCTTCATCCTCTATCGACAAAACAAAGTGGGTGATCAACCTCTCATCAAGGGAACTAAGCTCCAGTGAGATAAAAGTATTGGAGAAAGGACTAAATTTCAACGTAACAGTTAATAAACTGAAACCAGAGGATGTCATTCCTAACACAGAAGTAGCACTAGGTTCAATAGATAAAACAACAGCAGAAGAGGTTCGAGCACAATGTGCATTAACCCTAAAAAATCAAAAGAAGGCAAAATCAAACTTAACAACATCGGAAAGAGAAGCTTTAATTAATCTAAAACAGGATAAAAATATTGTCATCGCAAAAGCTGACAAAGCAAACGCCACCGTAGTTTCGAATAAATTTGACTACATCAAGAAGGTCACTGAACATATTGAAATGGGTCCATATGAGGAAATCAAGAAGCCTGTAGATACAACAATAAATAAGGTTAAAAAATCCACAGCGGAATTAGTACGCAGAATGAAGCCGTCACTGGGTGAGTCAAATTGGTTTAATTTAATGCCTAAAACTAATAATGCTAGTAGGATGTATGGTACTATTAAAATACATAAGCCAGGTTATCCCATAAGACCAATAGTAGATTTTAGAAATACCTATGCTTATGAATTATCAAAACACTTAGCTCTAATATTATGCCCCATTAGAGATCGTTCAAATTCTAGACTAACTAATTCATATGAGATGAAAAATAAACTAAATGACATACAACTAGATAATGATGAAACAATGGTTAGTTTTGATATAACTAGTCTTTACACTAATATACCAGTCAATATGGCCTTAGAAGCAGTTAAAAAAGAACTAACTGCGGATACTGAACTCAATCATAGGACAGAGCTGTCCATTGAGGAAATTATTTTAGGGATTCAGCTATTCCTCACATCTACTATCTTTAGATTCCAAGGCAAAATATATAGACAAACTGAAGGTGTAGCAATGGGATCACCAATATCCCTCATCGTGGCAGATATATTTATGGATAGCTGGGAAAATATGGCACTTATTACATTTAATCCTACTCCAAAAATATGGTGGAGATATGTGGATGACACATTCACAGTGTTAAAAACAGAACATATCTCTAGCTTCTTGACACACTTAAAATCACTAGTGGAGGGAATAAATTTCACATTTAAATCGGAAAATGAACAAGGAGAATTAGCTATGTTAGATTGTAAAATAAAACGAATAGAAGAAGGTAAACTACACACTAGTGTTTATAGAAAACCAACGCATTCTGCTAATAGATATTTAGACTTGTATTCATCTCATCCTTTAACTGTTAAGGCAGGCTTAGTTAAGTGTTTAACAAACCGGGCAGTAGCACTAAGTAGCACAAAAAAAGACCTTAATGGTGAAATAAAACAGATAGAAGAGGCGTTGGTTTTAAATAACTATCCTCTAAAATTCATTAGGAAGATTGTAAAACGCCAAAAGAAAAAGAAAAAGAATTGTGAAACTAGTAGTAATAAAATAATTAAGAGAGAATATAAGTCATCTACAGTTATACCATATAAAGAGGGGACATCTGAGACCCTACGTAGGATTCTAAATAAAGCAGGAATTAGGGTGGCATTTAAACCTACAAACTCACTCAGGGACAAGCTCTGTAGGTTAAAGGACCCAGTGAACCCAATTAGACAAAATAATATAATTTACAAAATACCCTGCAATGACTGTGAGGTCAACTACATAGGTCAAACTAGTAGGTCAGGAATAGTCAGATTGTCAGAACATAAGAATTTAGCTAAGGTAAGAATGGTTGACCCAGAGAAGATAAGTAATTTAGAAAAAAGCTCGGCAATTGCAATGCATGCATTAACACACAACCACATAATAGGGTGGGAG